GCCCCAAGTATGCAGCATGGTCACAAGAGACATATGAATGGAAACTTTCCAAAACGTCTATGAGACTCCAGCATCCTGTGCAATTCTCATTTTAAAATCAGATTTGAGCCAAAAAATCACTAATTTTTAACTTTTTATTTTTTATATATGCAAAAATGGTGGTTTTTCTTACTCAGAAACTCCCTGATTTAGTTTTTTCTGTTACTTCGGAATTTCACTCAATTTGGTTCAACTGTGTGTGTAAAATTTTGGAAAGAAGGCAGATGCTTCCTTGACGTAAGGTTCGCTAAAAATTCGCTTCGCATGAGAATTGATTTGCTTCATATACAATACCTGTGTAAAGTCCACCAAGGGGTGTTTTAACCCCTGAGGCTCCATTCACAGCACACCTGGAGAATGACCCAGTGATGGGCATGGATTGGAAGAAGGCTCCCGCTATTTGACACATTCCCAATGCTATCATTTCTTGATTTGCATCAACCGGCTTTCCTTTTGCTGTGATTGAAAAAAAAATCGTGAATTTATTTTCCTAAATCTTGATGATTCAGGTTTGATTGCAACTCACCGAATGTTTTGCATATTGCGATCAGTTCCAGAATGCCGAGCAACGGAATAATGACTATTGCTGAACCCGCGTCTGAAAGTATTTCGAAGTAACTTTGTCCCTTCACGAAGTTCGTTTCCCCTGTGAGGGAATCGTTTTGAAAGGAATCTTCGATCGAGAAAGGAGGAAATGCCGGATTCGGGATGCCGCTTTTAACGGTGCCTGTCAAAAAATAGAAACCCATAGCATATTATTAACAATTCTGACTGCTTACATTTTCCGAAAAACGGCTGCAGACGATTGAAACTTGAATTCCAAGGAGTTTAATTGTTGTGTATAAATTAATTTCAAAGGCGTTTATTTCTTGTTCTTTTATACTCTTGTGCCATCCAGGTTTTCATACTTCAATAGTTTTATCTATTGTGCTACGAATGCTGAAATCAAGTTCGAAGGAAGGTAGAATTTTTCTAATTTTGAATTTGTTCAAGTTTTCATCCAATTTCATCCTCTTTAACTCGATAACCCCTGAAAATGTCTTTCGGAGTTTGGGGGAAACGTCTTTTAAACTGCATTATCTCAAAAACTGAGGGTGAGGAAATAAAGGTTATTAAAAGAACAGTAGATTAAATTTATATTGCACATCCGTACTTTATATTCAATGGTCATGTTCGTGTATTTATATAGAATTTACCAGCCGATGTCGGACAAAAAGAAACAACGTAGAATTTCATGTTATCAGATTGTTATAAAAAGTGGTCAGTTTTTTTTATTATTTGATGAACCTCCGTGACATTTTCTAAGTTGAATTACTCCCTGTGTAGAAAATTTTTCAAAGTCTCTGTCTGCATTTCCTTCGAAACACTGCATCAAAAACCAATGCCTATAATCCAAAGGCGTTCCCTCTCAAACGTCCATAACTCAAATTTCTGAGGATCCTCTGCGCTATTTTTTTTTATTAACGCATGAGAGAGGAAAACAATAAAAAAATTAACTTGATGTTGTCTGAAAGGAAGGAAAAGACAAATTTGGCAAATGAATTCTTGCCTCCAAGTTCAGCATCCTGTCAACTGACTCAGGAAATAATTCAAGGCTCAGAATATCACCAATTACAAATTCCTGCAATTCTTCTTTCTTTCCCTAACAAAAATGCGTGTTACCCTGGCTCAAAGTCTATTTTTTTATTTTCTCGTCTCTTGAAAATTGAAACCCTCTCTAAGTGGACTTTCAAGAGACGAGAAAATAAAAAATCGACTTACGGAGGGTCAACTGTAGTGTTTCATGGTCGTAATAAGTTGTATCTTCTTCATGCGCACAGTAGTTTAATCTCTTCATCTCATCCACAGCACGAAGAGACGATGATGGGGCTCATGATTTAAAATGTATCGAAGGAATTATGCATGCTGTCACCATGTGTTTTCGGCAACGGAATATTTGTAGAGCAGCTCACTAATTGATTGTCTGCATTGACCACTTTGCATCATACGATAATACCACTTTAAAGTTGTCATTTCTCAAACCTTCCTGTAGCTTTTCTTTTGTAGAATTCTTGGAATTTTTTAAAAGATACAATAAGCCGCATGATTAATGTTCGCACGTTTACGTCGAATCGTGCGTAGAATATCTTCCATCTTTCGGGTAAAAATGTGAAAAAATAAATCGTGTTATGGTCTGGTAAGTCCGCGCGGAAACCACTCAGTATTCATGAAACTTCCTGTGAGTTTACTGTATACTTCGAACGGTTCAAAGGGGTTCTTTCTTCGCGATTCTCCTTTTTTTTTTCTCAGCATCAGTCTTGTTATTGATTGCATTTTTGATCCCGCCCACGAAAAACGAGATAAAACCCCGCTTGATTGTGTTCATTGTACAATATATACGAAGTGGGGTATAACCAAAGTTCTTGGGACAGAAACTGAAATGTCATATGATTGAGCTGAAAAACAATTATTTTTCCAATAAAAGAGAAGATTTTTAATATTTTTGCGGACTATACCTGCTTATAAGGGTACATTTTGGATCAATTTCAACAGGAAATTAATGTACTGTATTTCAATTGAAACAACTCAAAATTTTTTCAATCTTTGTCTAAATTCAAATTTGAGCATTCTTGTTTTTGAAATATATATATATTTTAATTGTTTAAAAATGGGGTGCGCGTCTTACGTACGTGGGGTTCGGATTTTACCAAAATTCCCCACTGGAAAACCCTGGTGCGTCTCTTATTACCGCCTGAGGGTGCGTTATATTCGAGTAAATAGGGTATATTCCGAGAAAATTTATTGTAGAAGCTTCTTGTACTGTGCGGTACAGTATATACAGTACTCACTGGTGAGAGTGAAGAGTTTCTCCCCTCTGGCGTTGTTTACGTGAACGGCCACAAGTCCGCAAAGAACCACTATCAACACGTTCCTGGCTGTAGATACCACCCAGACGATTTTCTCCGTTATCTTGAGCACCTTCGCGTCTTTGATGCACCGTCCCAGGTTCACGTCTTTCGCGCTCTTTGTGAATTTCGTGAAGAAAACATAAAATGCGCATATATACAGTACGTTCCGATGACATTGCAAATGATGGTAATCATAATATCCCGCAGTATATGTAGCTAGTGTATATATATGATGGACCGACGTCGTTCCGCCTGTTCTTACTCTCCCGTTGTTCAAATTGAAAAAGATAAGGGATGAAAACTATGAATTCAACCATTCAATGGAACCTCATCGCGACTGCATATATGAACTGAACTGGTGTTTTTCTTCATGGCTGCTGTATATCAAAGTTTATGATGTTGAGTGGATCATTTTGAAGCATAAAAAATAAAAAGAGACGAGACCAAACCAGGCCGGAAATGGCCTTGAAAGCTTTGTAAGTTTTTAGAACAGCACGTTCTCTGTGTGCAAAAAACTGCTGTAATCAAATTGCATCGTCCCTGAGGAAAATTAAACGCACTTGCTGATCTTGGTCGCTTTCTTTCGCGTTTTGCTCATTGAAAATTATAAGGTAAATTTCTATAGATTAAATTTTCTTGAAGTACGTGGCGTCATCCTCGAATTATTTGATAATTTGCGTTGATCGTAATAAAAGATCGATTTTTTTGACCGATGCAGAAAACTTGCTCCGGCCATTATTTAAGTGCAGGGATCCTTCGGCAGTACTTATTTTTTCAAAATAAAGCCGGAAAAATGGATATATTTCAGTTACAGCGTTGATAAATCGCTCGGGGTTATGATCGTAAGTCAAGCTTTTTCTTCCTGTTCACGGAAAGCTATCCCATGATTCCCATCATATTTATTGTTTCAACTACAGCACTGTACTACCCAACATAGCCATCAATCGATCAATTGAAATTCTTCGTAAACGTCTATTGATTGCGATACAGGCTTTATGTTATTTGGACGGGGACATTTTGGGCCCTATGTGATTGAATGTACTGTAATTGAGTATTGTACAGTATAATGTTGAGGGAAAGCAATGTTGGGAAGCAGACGATTTGTTTTGAGAATTGCTGTACTGTATTGTGTATTTCCATCCGTTGTTTTTTTTATGCTGGTGATATTTCTCACAAAGTTTTGGACAGAGAAATACCCGCTGTGCGGAATTTTTTCTTGAGAACAGAGGAAGGTTAGAAATCGACGCATTTTTTAACGCGCCTCGGGGCGCGTCTTCAGCTAAAAAGAAACCAACCCTTCAACAGGGCACCAATAAATTGGTTAAATTTTGGGCCTTCAACTGGGTAAATGAGTTGACAGGAAATGAGTCTGAACTTGATGGCATTCGTAGATGTGCCCAATTTGTTGCTCACTCCATTTTTAAAAGCATAGAAATACATTGTTAATTACATAAGATATGCCCTGTAATACAATTACATTTCAATTCTAAAAGAAAATCTTCCGAGTTGGGGAGGTCTATATCAGTGTTCTCCAACCGTTTTAGGCCCATGGACCAGCAAATTTCTGAATAATTTTTGCTAGGCAAGCAAATTTTCATTAAATTTTTTCAGCCTAAAAAAGTTTCCCTTGAAAGACTTTATCGCAGGGATATAAAAACTTCCCGCTTATTAAAAAAAAGTCATGGACTAATGAAGCAGCTACAGCAGAATGTCTTCAAAAAGTTAGAAAGGTGACTTGAAGGATGGTTTCTCAGAATGAAAAATCGAGATAATTTATTTCAGCATGTGAAAATTTGTCTGAAGTGTTATTGAGAGAAAATCCGACTTTTATTTTACATCAGATAATTTCAACTGCCATTGTCTTTCCAAAATTTCAGATGAAGATTAAAGACATTGTTGCTACTTTTGAAAAATTCATCATGCTGGCATAATTTTTGCTATTCTTGCAGAATAGCAAAAAACTTCTGCAGACCAGACTTAGTCCGCAGACCACAGTTTGGGGAACTCTGGTCTATATAACATTCCTTGCAAAGAAATTTGGACAAGGACTCAAAATAATTTTAATATAGGGAGGGCCAATGTCTTGATTATCTATGTCAATCAAGAGGGGGAAAAACTAATTGTTTTCTTTAGGTATCTGGGCAGAAACAGTCAAACATCTTCGAGTAAAACTCCAAGGGACCAGCAAAAATTTGAATTCGGTATTTCTCCAGTGAATTCAGCTCAAATTTTTAAAATGAAGAATAGCATCAAAATACTTGAAGACGGTTACATTCTAGATCTGTTCGACGTCAAATTGCGAGATAAATTAAATGAGAACTTCAAAAGAAGGGTTTTAATAGCACAAATAATCTCCCAATTCCTTCTGAAAAGAATTTTCTTACGATTCGTATCCCCTCTCCCGCTTCTCCTATCTCCAAAATAATACTGTGGCCAAAATGCACAAAAAGTAATTAATAGTATTTTTAAAGAATCACTTCCAGGTAGGGATGTCTAGAATGCCAGATTGCTGTGTTCTTGAGAAAATTCAGACTGGTCCATACAAAAATTCGACAATACGAGGTTTTTTTTTTTTTTTACCCAGGGAGGTTCAAATTAATGGAGTTCAACTGTAATAAAGTCCATAGTACAGTACAGCACATGTATTTCCCCCTTTATGTATACCGACTCCGGAAAGTGAAACTCATCGGGTTCACATATTTTTTCCTTTATTTCAGGCGTTTGTGTGGAACTCATCTCGAACCCCGTCACGTCTGGATTTGCTTCGGCAGCTGCTGTGATAATCGCCTGCAGTCAGTTGAAATCGCTGCTCGGGCTAAAGGATATCCATGGAGAGAGATTAATTGAAATTCTCCAAGGAGTAGCCGAGAAATTACACGCGACGAACTTTTACGACTTGGGCATGGGCATCACTGCTATTCTGCTCCTAACTGCGCTCAAGGTATACCTCCTAAAATATTTTCTTAAAATTTGCACACAAAAAAGCGGCAGTTTTTCAATTTTTTTTTAAATCCAGCAGCACGAACGAAAACCAATCAGAAAATAATTGAATATTTTCATATACGAGTCGAGGGATATTTTGTGCGACGAACTTTCATGACTTGGACATGATAGGCATCAATGCCATCGTTCTCCAGAAGTTCGCGGGTATTTCTCTGTCCAAAACTTTGTGAAAAATATCACCAGCATAAAAAAAAAAAAAAACAACGGATGGAAATACACAATACAAAACAGCAATTCTCAATACAAATCGTCTGCTTCCCAACATTGCTTTCCCTCAACATTATACTGTACAATACTCAATTGCATTCAATCACATAGAGCCCAAAATGTCCCCGTCCATATAACATAAAGCCTGTATCACAATCAATAAACGTTTATGAAGAATTTCAATTGATTGATTGATGGCTATGTTGGGTAGTACAGTGCTGTAGTTGAAACAATAAATATGATGGGAATCATGGGATAGCTTTCCGTGAAAAGGAAGAAAAAGCTTGACTTACGATCATAACCCCGAGCGATTTATCAACGCTGTAACTGCAATTTATCCACTTTTTTCGGCTTTATTTTGAACAAATAATTACTGCCGAAGGATCCCTGCACTTAAATAATGGCCGGAGCAAGTTTCCTGCATCGGTAGAAAAAATTGATCTTTCATCACGATCAACGCAAATTATCAAAAAAATTCGAGGATGACGCCACTTCAAGAAAATTTACTCTATAGAAATTTACCTTATAATTTTGAATGAGCAAAACGCGAAAGAAAGCGACCCAGATCAGCAAGTGCGTTCAATTTTCCTCGGGGACGATGCAATTTGATTACAGCAGTTTTTTGCACACAGAGAACGTGCTGTTCTAAAACTTACAAAGCTTTCAAGGCCATTTCCGGCCTGGTTTGGTCTCGTCTCTTTTTATTTTTTATGCTTCAAAATGATCCACTCAACATCATAAACTTTGATATACAGCAGCCATGAAGAAAAACACCAGTTCAGTTCATATATGCAGTCGCGATGAGGTTCCATTGAATGGTTGAATTCATAGTTTTCATCCCTTATATTTTTCAATTTGAACAACGGGAGAGTAAGAACAGGCGGAACGACGTCGGTCCGTCATATATATACACTAGCTACATATACTGCAGAATATTATGATTACCATCATTTGCAATGTCACCGGAACGTACTGTATATATGCGCATTTTATGTTTTCTTCACGAAATTCACAAAGAGCGCGAAAGACGTGAACCTGGGACGGTGCATCAAAGACGCGAAGGTGCTCAAGATAACGGAGAAAATCGTCTGGGTGGTATCTACAGCCAGGAACGTGTTGATAGTGGTTCTTTGCGGACTTGTGGCCGTTCACGTAAACAACGCCAGAGGGGAGAAACTCTTCACTCTCACCAGTGAGTACTGTATATACTGTACCGCACAGTACAAGAAGCTTCTACAATAAATTTTCTCGGAATATACCCTATTTACTCGAATATAACGCACCCTCAGGCGGTAATAAGAGACGCACCAGGGTTTTCCAGTGGGGAATTTTGGTAAAATCCGAACCCCACGTACGTAAGACGCGCACCCCATTTTTAAACAATTAAAATATATATATATTTCAAAAACAAGAATGCTCAAATTTGAATTTAGACAAAGATTGAAAAAATTTTGAGTTGTTTCAATTGAAATACAGTACATTAATTTCCTGTTGAAATTGATCCAAAATGTACCCTTATAAGCAGGTATAGTCCGCAAAAATATTAAAAATCTTCTCTTTTATTGGAAAAATAATTGTTTTTCAGCTCAATCATATGACATTTCAGTTTCTGTCCCAAGAACTTTGGTTATACCCCACTTCGTATATATTGTACAATGAACACAATCAAGCGGGGTTTTATCTCGTTTTTCGTGGGCGGGATCAAAAATGCAATCAATAACAAGACTGATGCTGAGAAAAAAAAAAGGAGAATCGCGAAGAAAGAACCCCTTTGAACCGTTCGAAGTATACAGTAAACTCACAGGAAGTTTCATGAATACTGAGTGGTTTCCGCGCGGACTTACCAGACCATAACACGATTTATTTTTTCACATTTTTACCCGAAAGATGGAAGATATTCTACGCACGATTCGACGTAAACGTGCGAACATTAATCATGCGGCTTATTGTATCTTTTAAAAAATTCCAAGAATTCTACAAAAGAAAAGCTACAGGAAGGTTTGAGAAATGACAACTTTAAAGTGGTATTATCGTATGATGCAAAGTGGTCAATGCAGACAATCAATTAGTGAGCTGCTCTACAAATATTCCGTTGCCGAAAACACATGGTGACAGCATGCATAATTCCTTCGATACATTTTAAATCATGAGCCCCATCATCGTCTCTTCGTGCTGTGGATGAGATGAAGAGATTAAACTACTGTGCGCATGAAGAAGATACAACTTATTACGACCATGAAACACTACAGTTGACCCTCCGTAAGTCGATTTTTTATTTTCTCGTCTCTTGAAAGTCCACTTAGAGAGGGTTTCAATTTTCAAGAGACGAGAAAATAAAAAAATAGACTTTGAGCCAGGGTAACACGCATTTTTGTTAGGGAAAGAAAGAAGAATTGCAGGAATTTGTAATTGGTGATATTCTGAGCCTTGAATTATTTCCTGAGTCAGTTGACAGGATGCTGAACTTGGAGGCAAGAATTCATTTGCCAAATTTGTCTTTTCCTTCCTTTCAGACAACATCAAGTTAATTTTTTTATTGTTTTCCTCTCTCATGCGTTAATAAAAAAAAATAGCGCAGAGGATCCTCAGAAATTTGAGTTATGGACGTTTGAGAGGGAACGCCTTTGGATTATAGGCATTGGTTTTTGATGCAGTGTTTCGAAGGAAATGCAGACAGAGACTTTGAAAAATTTTCTACACAGGGAGTAATTCAACTTAGAAAATGTCACGGAGGTTCATCAAATAATAAAAAAAACTGACCACTTTTTATAACAATCTGATAACATGAAATTCTACGTTGTTTCTTTTTGTCCGACATCGGCTGGTAAATTCTATATAAATACACGAACATGACCATTGAATATAAAGTACGGATGTGCAATATAAATTTAATCTACTGTTCTTTTAATAACCTTTATTTCCTCACCCTCAGTTTTTGAGATAATGCAGTTTAAAAGACGTTTCCCCCAAACTCCGAAAGACATTTTCAGGGGTTATCGAGTTAAAGAGGATGAAATTGGATGAAAACTTGAACAAATTCAAAATTAGAAAAATTCTACCTTCCTTCGAACTTGATTTCAGCATTCGTAGCACAATAGATAAAACTATTGAAGTATGAAAACCTGGATGGCACAAGAGTATAAAAGAACAAGAAATAAACGCCTTTGAAATTAATTTATACACAACAATTAAACTCCTTGGAATTCAAGTTTCAATCGTCTGCAGCCGTTTTTCGGAAAATGTAAGCAGTCAGAATTGTTAATAATATGCTATGGGTTTCTATTTTTTGACAGGCACCGTTAAAAGCGGCATCCCGAATCCGGCATTTCCTCCTTTCTCGATCGAAGATTCCTTTCAAAACGATTCCCTCACAGGGGAAACGAACTTCGTGAAGGGACAAAGTTACTTCGAAATACTTTCAGACGCGGGTTCAGCAATAGTCATTATTCCGTTGCTCGGCATTCTGGAACTGATCGCAATATGCAAAACATTCGGTGAGTTGCAATCAAACCTGAACCATCAAGATTTAGGAAAATAAATTCACGATTTTTTTTTTTCAATCACAGCGAAAGGAAAGCCGGTTGATGCGAATCAAGAAATGATAGCATTGGGAATGTGTCAAATAGCAGGAGCCTTCTTCCAATCCATGCCCATCACTGGGTCATTCTCCAGGTGTGCTGTGAATGGAGCCTCAGGGGTTAAAACACCCCTCGGTGGACTTTACACAGGTATTGTTTATGAAGTAAATCAATTCTCGTGCGAAGCGAATTTTTAGCGAACCTTACGTCAAGGAAGTATCTGCCTTTTTTCCAAAATTGTACACACACAGTTGAACCAAATCGAGTGAAATTCCGAAGGAACAGAAAAAGCTGAATCAGGGAGTTTCTGAGTAAGAAAAACCACCATTTATGCATATATAAAAAATAAAACAAGTTAAAATTAGTGATTTTTTGGCTCAAATCTGATTTTAAAATGAGAATTGCACAGGATGCTGGAGTCTCATAGACGTTTTGGAAAGTTTCCATTCATATGTCTCTTGTGACCATGCTGCATACTTGGGGCCCTAAAACTAAACACCATGGAGCCTCAGGCCATTTAGAAGGGAATTGAACAAGCTTTTATTTGATGCTTTTCTCTTCATTGCCACAGCTAAATTTTCAACCAAGCTATTTCAAGTAAAAAATCGGTTCAATTTTTTCTGCCCCCCCCCCCCCTGTATAACCTGAACGTCAAGTTAACTTACTGAATTTTTAGATAATTTCAACACACCCTCACCTCTACCTCAGTGTCCTCAAATTACCCCTGGCAACACCTGATGAGGCATTTAGGCTGACCTAAAATAACTTATTCAACCAACAACTAACCAGTAACAATCTAACCGACAATTTCTAACTTCATAAAATCTTTCTTTAACTTTTGAAAACGCTCAACATCTTCATTCGTGCTGAATCCACGTTGACTTTGATCAATCCCGTTCTTCGTTAGTACGTCATCATTAAGGTACATAATTGCCATCTCACTGGATGAATATTCATTTGTCAAACCTCACACAGAGCATAATGCAGAGCAGCCTTTCACAAAATCTCAGAACAACGTATGATTGAGTAATTCTTATGTCAGTTATTCGCCTTATCAAACCGATTGTATAATTCGGCAAAATTCTAACCTCTGATATGCGGGTTAGAAGGTGTCCATTTCCAGTATGGATGCCTCTCTTGACAAATTTCGTTCCGGCATTTTCCCAACAGGGGTGATAGTTTTACTGGCACTTGGTTTCCTGACTCCGTATTTCGAGTTCATCCCGAGAGCCGCATTAGCTGCGATCATCGTCTGCGCCGTCATCTACATGATCGAGATCGAAGAAGCAATCCATGTGTGGAGAACCAAAAGTAAAATCCGTCGTTCTGTGAGCTGAGTCCGAATGGATAATGACGACACGTACTTTTCTGTGTGTACAGAAATCGACCTGGTGCCGATGCTGTCGACGTTTTTTGCCTGTCTGGTCATTGGCATTGAGATCGGCATTCTTATCGGTGTCGCTGTGAATGCGTCCATGATCATATTGTTCAGCGCTCTGCCAAAGGTTTCGGTCACAAAATCCACGGTACGAATTTCAATTACTGCACTTGGAATCATTTTGAGACTGCTGGTTCAGGGAGCAGAAATCCGTGCAATATGATCTGCCCTTCGCCCAAAAAGACGAGGAGCTGTCCCTTTTGCAGAACATTTAGGAAATACAGTAAGACCTTGCTGAAGTAAATTAGGAACTTATATGCACTCCATCTTTAATTCTTCAATCTTTTTTTCAAGTAGCTTCAAATTTTTCAACGAAATTTTTTTCATAGAATGGAGCATGACGGTTTCTCAAAATTTACCTTACGACTCGAACCTCCGTGAGTCAAACTCGTCCCAATTTTCGAATTTTTTTTCAAGTGCTGTCTAAATTCCCTTGAAATCAATGCATTAAAAGCCTCCTTAACACAAACATGAAGGCATTCCCTTTCAAACGTCCCTCACTCAAATTTCTGAAGATCCTTTCGGCCATTATTGTATTGACGCAGGAAAGAGAAAAGCAATAAAAAATGTAACAAAGTGTTTTGAAAGGAAGTGAAAGAATATTTGGAGAAATGAACCCTTGCCTCCAAGTTCAGCATCCTGTCACCTCATTCAAGAAGCAAAGGCTCAGAATACCTCCGATTACAATTTCTTGCCATTCTTTCTCCTTTCCCTCGTCAACATTTCTTTTTCCGAAACTCAAAACTAACCATAACTCGCATCATCTTCATTGCCCCATGAAGTTCGACTGCAATTTTAAATCCAGTGTATTTGATGATGCATAAAAGCAGACAGTATTCTGTTTCCATTGCTTTGATTTTTTAAACGTCATCTATGACTCATTACAGAAAAATGTTTCGAAAAAATCAGTGAAAGAAAATTTACTTCAAGTGTTCGAAAGAGAGTACCAATAATAAGCACAATTGACTTCACCAGCACAGTCCTCAATGAGCTGAGCCAGCAACTAAAGCAAAACCATCAATAGGTAGCTTTCAAAATATTTTCGTTCCTTTTCAAAAAAAGAAAGCCGCCGATTTCTATATTTTTTACGCTTGAGTATACTTCAGCTCACTAGTGATTTTGCTGTTGAAATCAATTACGCTCATCATTGGTACTCTCATTCAATCATTTTTAGTGAGCTGTTTTCACTGCCTCTTTCAAGCCAACTGCCTCTATGATAATGTTTAGAAGTTTAAAAAAAGACAGTTGAAAATGCACTACACATACAAAAAGCTCAAAAATTAAATTTAGTCACCCTACACTACGGAAATGTTCACGACCACGTGGGCGGTAGAATAAAATCGATGGCACGCGAAGACAAATATTACAGTACTTTCCGTTAAAAGACAAAAAAAAAAAGCGGGACGTCTTTCTCGCGTCAAATATCACACTTCCTAAAAATGCATTCAATTTTTTGCCGTTGAATAATTGATTCAAAGAATGAGCTCATTCGTTTCTTCATTTTTGAAAACTATAGCTGCAGGACGAAACGGCAGTGATTTTCTTGACCCCGGACAGAGCGATCCATTTCCTGGCAGTGGAAAAAGTGAGAAATCTTTTCTCGAAAACCATTTTCAAGAACAAGGACGCGGTGGTGGTCTTGGACTTTCAGCACGTGATTGATTTGGATTTCACGGCTGCCAAAGGATTTGTTTCTCTCAGTCAAGGCATGAAAGAAAGGAAGCAGAATTTAGTCTTCGTCAATGTAAACTGCGATGTCGAGAAAACTCTCCATGGACTGCAGGCGAACATGGAAATATACCAATCAGCAGCCGATTGGATATCACAAAGTAAGTTTTAAAATATCTGATGATTTCAGGAAGTACAGCAACAACTGAGACCGTTGCAGAAATACTTCAATGCAAATACAGTACAGTATACAGGCGCAAAAATCATAGAGCATTTCAAAATTCCTGTGACTCACTTACATACGATCTTCGAACGCTGATGAAAAATCAACTAAGAACAACTCATTCTTGAATAATTTCAAAATTTACGTCCTTTGTCAAAATTAGAAAAAACGTATCCCGATTGTGAAAAATGTAAATACTTCAGAAGGGATTTCTTGCATTGATTCACAGGAATTTTGAAAAATCCCATCCGTTCGGCAAATATGAAGAATCTGCGCGGCAATTTTGTGCGGATCTCTTCTTTGCTTGGCACCATGTCCAGTTTTCAGGATTATTCAATTTCGATTCTTTCATGGAAACATCCAAGTAGGATTCAATCTTTCCTTCCCATGTTTACTTACGCATTTTGATTTTTCCTTCCTAGATTTTCAACTCCCAAAAAGTTCTTCACCTTCGTAGTCTGTATGTAATGTAATGTATATATTAAACACTGTATACAGTATACGAGGGTTCTAACAAAAGTTCTCGGAATATGAAGTTAAATGGCGCACAATTGAGCTGAAATAAAATTACTCTTCACGGAGAACATATTCTTTGACACAAAAAATCAGCCCTGTTCGAAAATGTTTTGCAAAATTCACCCTGGCAGAGTTTTGCTCTCCACTCAAAAGATGAGGCGCCTTTCCTGCAGATTTTGTTGTTGTAACCCACCTTTCCCCTCAGAATTCTTGAAATCAACGAGGAATTAATTCCAAGTGTTGCCTACAGATCTTCCAAGGTAATTCCGCCATTTTCATCAACAGCTGCCTTCACAACCGCCAAAGTGGCCGCCACTTTGGCTGTTGGTGAAAATGGAGGAATTACCTTGGAAGACCTGGAGGCAAAACTCTGCCAGGGTGAATTTGCAAAACATTAAAAAAATTGACAAACCGGACTGATTTTTTTTTGTGCCAAAGGATATGTTTTCCCAAAAGAATAATTTTGTTTAGCTCAATTGTGCGCCATTTCAATTCCTATTTCAAGAACTTTTGTTAGAATCCTTGTATACAGGGTGGGCCAAAAAAAGTGAACCAATTTTTTTTTCTTGAAATGACTTGGTAGAAAATTGAGCTGTGTCAATGAAAGAAGTCCCAAATGGAAGCTTGTTCCATTCTCTTTCAAATGGTATGTAATTTCATAAACCTAACTGCCACAGAATGGTCACAAGAACCACTTGAATGAAAACTTTCAGAAATAAAAAAGTTTTCAGGCGCCTTCGTCCACTAAGCTGCTGTTCTGGTGAGCTGTTTGCATGAATGAAGGAAATTCGGGATGCCATGAGTTAACCAGAAACTCCCTGCTGTTTTGAAGAGCCTGCACATTCTCCCAAAATTCAGGAGGGGGTGAAAACTGAAAAGGGGGAAAGAAAGAAATTGGCAAGATGGGATGCTGCAAAGCTCCTGTAGTGCATGCGTGCTGCTCAGCGCTGGCCTTGCGGCTCCCAGACCCACTGTGTACAAATTTTTTTCTGGATGACTAAATTGCTGAAAATTGTTTTCACTCAAAGTCAGTTTAATTTGAAAATGTTTGCTTAAAATCGTCTTCAGCAACACAGTCATCCATGAACAAAAAAATGTGCATGCAGTAGGTCATCAGGAGCAGCTGTGAGGCCAGTGCCCAGCAGCACGCGTGCATGAGGAGAGCCCCACCGCATCCTATCTTACCAATTTAATTCCCCCTTCTGACCTTTTCACCCCCTCCTTCTGAATTTTAGGAAAATGTGCAGGCTCAAGACAGCAGGAAGTTTCTGGTTAAATTATTTCATCTTGCATTTCCTTCAGTCATGCTCTCCAGAACAGCAGCTTAGTGGAAAAGGGCACCTGAAAACTTTTTCTTTGGAAAGTTTTTATTCAAGTGGTTCTCGTGGCCATTCCACAGCACTTGGGACCATAAAATTACATACCATTTGAAATAGAATTGAACAAATTTTCATTTGATGCTTTTTTCATTGCCACAGCTCAATTTGCTACTGAGTTATTTCAAGTAAAAAATCGGTTCATTTTTTTGGCCCACCCTGTATATACGTGCGTTGGATTCCTACCGTTCATTCTGCATACTTCCTGTACATATATTTTTGAATCTTGGTCTGGACTAAGAAGGTGAATACATTTTTGGTAGTACTGTAATAAGAAAACATATGGGATTCGAGCTAAGGTTTCAATTTCGAAAATTGGAAGGGAAAAATATAATTCCATCAAAAATTTGAACGATAAGAAGAAAAATAGCGGCACTAGGTTCATGTAAACTCCGTAAAAATCGGACTATGCAGCATACTATTCTCCCACCCAACACCTCGGAACAATTCACGTTTCAATCCTCGACATTTATTCTACCTTTCTCCTTTTTTTTCGACAGGGTCCAACGGAAATAATGCAATTGCAATCCCGATGGATGCGGAAAAGCACAATCAAGTATGAGGCCTTCACAAATGAGTTCAAAGACAAAACTGAGAAGGAACTAATGCAGCATTATTTATTGAGTTTCCGCCGAAACGCATCGTGCCACGAATTCTCGTTCCGACGCTTTGTTAAAATGCGCAGCGAACGAGGATGATGATTCATTGACCATTGATATAATCGCCGCATTAAGTCCATAATCGAACTGAGGTTAAAACTCATCGGATGTCAGCATTGAGAATATTTTCTGGGTGTGAAATTGCTCGATTATCCCGAGTGATTCCGAGTTGCCATCATTGGTGAGTGTGATTCCAGTCGATTTCCGCGACATGAAGTGATTTCGCCTTTTTTTCTGTGTTTTGCGCCAAATGTTTACTAAAGAGATTTTTACAACAAACATGGAGTCTATTCTAATACAGTGCAATGATTAAATCGAACCAGGTTAGATCAGATACAATTTCATTTCTTGGATACACAGAGTCACTCAAATTTTACACTGGGTAATCATATCCGCAGCCGAAGTCACCGCACGCTATATCCATGATAAAATGTTCGAAATTGCGCAAAAGCAACAAAAATCACAAGCTGGATATATCTGGCCTGAAGCAATCACAGCACACGCCAATCGTAAAAGTGCATAACATAAAATATACTGAATAAAATTGCACAGAATGTATGCATAAATCCTGATCGGAATTTCCGCAGAATAACAAAATGCAAAACAAACATTCCTCACTCTAAGTTTCGAAAAATGAAAAGAGCTGGTGCTTTGAACGCAAGTCGATTATCACTACTTCGAGTTTGAATCGAGCCTTCTCACAGAAACTGGTCGTGGATGGGTGCAAGTACCGGTATTTGTACACTGAAGAAATTGACGACTTCAACAAAATAAATCTCCTCCAAACACACGTAGCTTGAAACGGTCAATTTAACATTCTAACAGAAAAACAAGCAAATTCGATCACCTTGGAATTACCTCAATCACTTCTCATGTTCCACGCTTCAGGGTGTAAGGACTGTGTAAAAATTGCTTCCGAACAATATTTTTGAAGATTAATATCTACGCAGTTGATTTCAGCAGTTTCCGAGATTGCAATCGTTTAAAAATTTGAGCGGCGTCCCTTCTGAATTTTCCAACATGAACAAACTCAAGCTTGATCGAGTGGCAAGAAAATAAAACGAACCTCACTCCAAAAGCTGCACATATGAAGTGGGAACATAACCGCGCTTTCCGAACCCGTTCTCGACGTACATCCAGTCCTTGTTGCCTGCGTTATCCCCGCAATGCATGACGGTTAAAGTTTCTCCGACGCTCACACTCAGTTCCACTTCAGTATCCGCTTTGTACTCAAACATTACACGGGCCTGAACAAGGGAACCACAAGGCAAGTTTGAAGAGACAGTTGATTCTTCAGTTTCAGCACAAAATATCCCGGATTGCGTGACTTTTCTTGCTGCTACATCATGAGACACTAGCATTTTTCCTCCACCGAAGTCAAAATTGAATTATGTTAGATCGATTTCGTTCAGTTACGTTAGATCGATTTCGTTCAGTTACGTTAGATCGATTTGATTCAATTCACTGCTTTGGTTTGGTTTCATAACTTTCCCCAATGTTACCCGTCACCTTTACGAGGAAGCAAGGTTTAACGATGAGATTTCAGAAATGATTCGGAACTCGACGAAGAGTCATTAACATTTTTAGGCCAACAGTCGATAAGCAAAAAATACCACGACAAGTTAATTCCCTTCAACAACGTAAAAGCGCTAAGAATCCAAAAGGTTAATTCATCGAGAAAATGCATGAGCAAATTACAAGAAAGCTTGAAAAGGATTATTGCTCCAAATGAACTTCGTAAAAAATTCACGTCTGGATTTAAAAAAAAAAGAATAAACCACACAAACCTGCGATGAATTAGCCGCCTTGGGTTTGAGAGGAGATTTATCTCTCACGTCCACGTTCTGCACTTCAAGCGATTTGTTCTCCGGATACAGCTTTGGAGAAACACCCTCAGCACCCAAACAAACTACCTCATCGTACGACGGTGGCGGCGGATCGTCGTAAAGGTGACTCTGATTTATTGATGCTAGATTTTTTCATCGGAAAACCATTTTCAAACCGTACTTATCGGCAATAAAACCAGAAGGACTCACGAGAAACTGATACGCGCTGTGAAGTAACACTAGGAGCTCCACGTGATGGAGTCAATGTCGATGCTCTTCTTTGACACTCCGGCTGTAGGATTTGATGCGGAACGAAGCCCTGAGACACTGTAAAAATCAAACATTTTTCGGATGTCAGTACATTGCTGTAAGAAAAAAAGAAAAAACTTGAAAATTTGGAATTCCGACCCAAAAATGGAAAAACTATCGCTTGGGATCGAACTTGAGCAACTCAAAAACCCGATAGTACGAAGACAAATACTGCACTGTATGCATTTCAGTTTTTTAGCAGTTTAATGTCCGACAAAGCTTCCTAGAACGTCGGAAAAAATCTTCTCCGGCCCATAATACTGACCAAAAATGACTCGGACCAACCCCAACTGAAGATGCTCGAATAGCCTGAGCCTTACTAAACTGCACATCAGTCCAAGATAATCTGAATTAACCTAACTTAACGTATCCTAACTGAACCTGGGAAAAAGCAAAGTGCTAAATGCTACAAAACAAAAGATGTAACAAAATGCTGGTAACTCGATTGTGGTGAAGGAAATCACTGATTTCGGATCGTCAGGCGTTGAGAAGAACGAAACAATCGTACAAGAAGCAATACGGAAAAGCATTCCATACGATTGCTAAAACGTGACACAGCACATGCAGAAGTGCGAAAATTTTAAAAATCGCATTAAATTACTCTTCTTTAAAATGAATACACGCTTTCTAACCATAATTCAATAATATCAGGTAATCCTTTCAATCCAAGCGGTTCACACGTTTACCTCTCTTTAAAACATGACCAAAGAAAAATTTTACATGCAGCATAACCACGAAGCTTACCGCCGTTGTCAATGAACCAATGGGACGAACCGCCAGACGGAAGTTCCCGCTTAACTACGCCAACAACATCGTCTTTTTTCACTTTCAAAACCAGCTCGACAAACATGGCTGGCAAAATGCCGCCACCGGTCGTATCTTCCTTCTCCTCAGGGAAATCCCGCATTACGAGGTATACTTTTTCAGCAGGATATTTCATCCTAACGCTTTCAGAATCGCTTAGCGACGCTCCGGAACTTCTTTCACTTGCTCCGTTCATTCTCTCGACTGCTGGTCTAGGTATAGAAGTTAACTATGTCAACGGGTTTCATCAACATCACAGTAACTAAGAACATGTTACGAACGGGATTAGACATCATTACCAATAAAACGGAGTGTTTCAATTCAACGAAAAAACGCTATCGTAATTTTTCCCATTCACAAAAAAGTACACGGGAACATTTCGAAATTATTTGATCAATTTCTGTTTTCTTCGAGAAGAAAACAAAGAAACCCGTGAACTCGTGGAGAGAACCCTCTTATATGTCTTGAGGAATGTTCTTTTTCCAGCAAACCAACAATATTGAACAACACACCAACAGTGATTATGAAACATGGAAACCAAAGCTACCAAGACAATTGAATTGTTTTCAACAAAAAATGTACGCTGGAGAAAAGGGTTCGAATTTCTAAAAAAATCAATATTTTCTTTTTCATCAAAGGCATTACAATATTCAAAGGAATGAAACAAAAATCATTAACCTTCACAATACAGTACAGTACTATCAATTCCAATGAAGAAAAGGTGCCCGTTTTAAAATTAGCGATATCGAAAAAGACGGCCAGAAACTACAGTAATGAAACCCCTGAACCCCTGAAAAATTACACTGAAACTTTTCAACGATCTCAAAAATTTCAGAAGTCTTCACCACTTACTGGATTGGCTCTGGCGCAGAGAATTGTCGGGAAGGCACGACTGGTTTCTGATCATGAGATGACTTCGAAAATCTGCGGGGAAGTCGAGGAACCATACCGACGGAATCCGAATTTTGGTTGGACGCAAAAACATCATCGCTAAATTTTATAGAAAGCAGGGAAAATCGTGACATTTGATTGCACACCAGTTTGTGCTTTGTGAAGAAGCTGTCATAAATATTTGAATGTCCACTCGCCAGTAAAGGCATCTGGAATGAGAAAAAAAAATTTTATAAACGTGCGGCCTGAACATGTGAAAGACGACTTTCATTTGATTCCGTACCTCGGATAATGAAATCAATTCCTTGAAAATCGCTCCACATAGCTTCTTTCTTATAACGAAGAAGTTTAGGAAGCATCTTGACACAACCTCGTGACATATATCACAAACGGTAGGAAGTTCCTCAATCAAAAGGGCGTTCAGAGCTGCGTAAGTTTTTTCCGCTGTATCCATTTCCTCCTTCATCTTGATCATATTTTTTTTACCAAAATTATCATCAGTTATGCCAGAGGGCAAAACTTTTAACAAACCTGCATAGTTTGCTCCTTTGCTTTCACGTACTTATTCCTGGCTTTATCGTAGTCCAACAACTTGTTCCTTCGTTTCTCCATTAAAAAGCGAGGTCGATCTAATGTTTCCGAAAGGATTCCAAGCGGAGTTATGACCTGTACCCCTAGCTGTCGTTCGAAATTCGGCCAGACTCTGGAATAAATTTCGTAGTGAACTCCCCAGAATCGTTCCACTTCCTCGGGCTTCTTTTCTGCTCCGAACAGCTGCCTCAGCCCTTCACATAAAGCAAGCTCCAACTTAAGCACACTGTCGAATTCCGCCACGAACTTCAACACCCATTTTTTAAACGCCTTGATGCATTCGTCTATGTCTCTGAACCTCTTCCCGCGCTCATCGAACACCGCACACTTCGTCTGAGAAAAAAACAAAGCAAAGCTTTAAGCTGATCGTAATTCCCGCGTGAAAGATGTAAGTGGGAACCGATACCTCTGACGCAAGACCCATAGAAGTAGCCAGAGACGTTGCCAGTCTTCCCGCACTTTTCGAGATTGAATGCATGGAAACGTTTGAGATTCTTCCAGATACGGAACTTCTATGCGATGCGTTACGGGAATATTTCTCCAATATTTCCGTCAAACGACCAGTTTCATTGATTTTGGTATTTCTCTCAAGGGCTAATCGTTGAGCCTCCCAAAGATCCACCAAATCTTCGTGACCTTCTTCAGTTGCCTAGGAGGGAATGAGATTCAATGGACATGAAGTCATCTGTCTCAGAGCATGTCGAGTTGTATCGAACAAGGTGAACGGATCAGAGCTCATATAATAAGATAACAATACCTCACCACGAACAATACAGTACATTTCAAAAACGAACTGTAAATACTCTGGTTATCGCTCAAGTGGAATCTGCCTCGCACGCGATTTACATCAACCATGTCATTAGCACACGAAAAGAACAATATACCGCGGAAAAAAAAAACTAATATTTTCTGATACTTAATCGCAGTCTAGAAATACGGTATGGAAATAAAATGGCCGTAGTCCACGGGTGCTGTATTTTCTTACGACGCATAATAAAATGTGCAATTTCTTATGAATCTCATACAGTACTCGAATTATCGGAGTTTTACCTGGATGGAAAAAGTACCTTAATGAGTTCGGCTAGCAGAAGATGGTATTTCAACACATGCTGAACAGGTTCCACCAAAATTGACCCAACGCTGATACAATTAACACCACGACTCCGGATATTATACGCTAGCTCATCCAGGGTTTCCTTCCGTTTCATAACAGCCATGTACTGTGCCAAAAAAAAAGAAGAACAAAGTTAGCATCAATAGTCGAAGATGAATGCAGCGTCATATCCAAAACAGAACTACTAAAGCTGACACCATACCGTGGCCAAAGTTGCGGTTACTTTACTGTAATGCAAACAGTATTTCAGGTACACTTCTTCTAGTTCTCCTTTCAGGGCAATGAAACACGATCCAATGCGTTGTTTTGACGGCTCAACGCCGTCAATGTTGACCGTCAGCGCTCTTTCGAGCTTCTCTGCAACCTCGATCACCTTTAAATATCATTAAATTTAGTCTTCAGAAAATAAAAAATGAGGAGAAACAAAAACGAACCTCAAGGAAGTTACCGAAAATGGCTTTCGACGACATACCATGTTCTTCAAGGGCAGGGGCAAAAGGCAGACCAAATACCTCAGCGGCTATTTTCAAATGTTTAATAAAATCTCTTTCGGCTGTAAGTATTTCTTTCACAACATGGTCCCGCTGGCTCATAACCCTGAAATAAACAAAAAATCTTTACAAATTTGACTTGAAGATCAAATGAATTAATCTCTAAATACACCAGATTATCTCCCCCTCTTTCTTTGAACGGGTCGATTCAGCGTCCATCTGTCTGAACATGAGATTACAGTACAAGATTGAGATATAACATTATTCGAAGTATTTCAACCCTCTAGTACTCTAGTGCAATAAAAAACCGTAACATGAAGACATGTGCTGTACCATACTTACCCGAGTACCACGCGCATCTTCTTCTGCAAAATCGAGGCAGAAAAGTAGGGTGCGCGTGGTATGCGGGTATGAAGGAAGAAAATATTTTAAAAAAAAAAAAAAAAAAAAACGAAATATTTAATGTAAGTCAGAAGTTAATCTCTGGTGGAAAAATGGATAGAAAATTTTGTTCTACGCAAATCCTGATTTAATTCTTACATATTTTTTCAATCAATTATATGGTTGATGGTAAAAAATATTATTTGAGGAACGAATTTTGATTTTTAGCTAACAAAAAACTAGGGTGCGCGTCTTTTACGGAGAAGGGGTTTTAAGTAAAGTTTACGCCAAAAACCAATGAGAGGGTCTTACTTGACGGCGCGTGGTACTCAAATAAATAATGTGTAATGAAATCTTTTTCTAGAATTTTTAATTATCGGGGAAATGAGAGTTTCTGCGCAAGATAAATTCAAGCATAACAGATGATTCACGACGGGATTCAACTCACTTTGCCCCTTCTTCGACGAAAGATGAGCTATCCAGAGAATCCGAATTCGAGTGACTGGAGCGGACAGATTGAGGTGTTTCACTGCCGATCACATTGCCAAAATCCTCGGTCATAGGTTCTTCCAGGTTTGCTGGCAAATGATTTGACACCTCTGCGATACAAATGAACGAAAATGTGCACAAATTGCTCTTCGAATATATCAGAAGGACTGCGCATTACACATACGAAATAGATGGTAGTCGAACCTCTCTAAGTGGAAGTTCAAGGGTCCAGCAAACAAATTCGACTTGGGGAGCCTCTGAGTTGAAGAGGCTTGACAGAACAAACAATTTTTATTGTGGGAAACATAAGAGATATTGCACAAAATTGGAAATTTTGATTTCTGGGCCTTAAATTTTTTCCGAAAATGATTTAACAGAATGCTGAACTTGGAGGTAGGGGTTCATTTGCCCAATTTAGTCTTTCGCTTCCTTTCGAAAAGCATTAAATTCATTTTTTCATTGGTTTTGTCATTCCTGCGTCAAGAAAATAATGGCCGAAAGGCTTCAGAAAATTCGACTTACGGAGGTTTGAGAGGAAAAGCTTTCGAGTTAGGGAGGTTTTTAATGCATTGTTTATAAGGTAATTCAGACGGGGACTCGATATAAATTCGATTCAGGGAGGCATTTGACTTAGAAAGGTTCGTCTTATCAAGGTTCAATTTATATACTGTATGTGATTAGCATTGGAAGATTTTTTAAATTATAGGGTCCATCCCTAGTTGGAAATCTTGTACTTGGGCCACCCAGCCCAGGTTTCATTTCTTCAACCTTTGTGTCGTAGATCGTATAAGATCTCAACAAAGAATTCAATCGAAATGAATGTAATGCACACTATGTATCTCAGCAATACAGAGTCCTCCGATACTTCCATACGTTATTCATTACAAATTCTCGCAATTTAGAAATCACGGTTTGTAGAAAAGCAAGTGAATTGGAAAAATTGAAAATTATGGAAGTTCCAGCAAGAATACATAACATTCACGCATCACAGAAATTCACGTTTCAATATTGACGCACCCCCCTCGACCTCCGAATGTTTCGTGAGTGAAGAATATTCAACAAAATTATGCACAAAAAGGACTGACCTCCTAATTCAGCTTTGGGTTCACGAGGGGGTTTGACAGGAGAAGGTCTTCTCGGTATCGCGGGTGGAAAGCTGGGCTTCGGAGGAGATCTTCTCGGCAATGGCTTCGGCTTCTCTGTGAGTTCTTCCACGAGGTCATTGTCGAGTCCATCGGAGTCGTGCCCGACGAATGCGCTATGCAAATTATCATACCGCGACGTCGGAGATGCGGAAGACGTTTCGGGTGCGGATGGGAACACGGGTTGCGGACTCGGACTTTTCCTGACTGCCAAAAATGAATACGGTATTCAAAAACTTAGGAAATACGGAATGCTAAAATTGCAGCTCTTACACGAGGTGGCTCAAAAAATCAGGAAAAGAATTTTTCTGTTCCGGAAGACTTCCAAAACTATAATCGCTGAAATAGGACCCTGAACACTATTCAATTGCTATCGAATGGTGAACATCTTTCAATTTTTAGGCTCCATGCAACACTTCCGTTGTCCATAAAAAAACACCTCTGGGAAAAGGTTCCCGAAAATAATTTTAAAACTACGATTTCGGACAATAAAAATGCTCAATATTGGAACTGAAACTAAAGCCTAATTTAGATCTATAGCGCTCGCAACTTTACGAAAATGGTCACTTCAAATTGGCCCAAATGCTCTCGTTCACTCGGTACAGGCAAGAAACGATTCCAAGCACTGCCACACCTGAGATTTGATCATCAAGTTAAAACCATTTCACGCCTCGAACATATCATGGTTCCACAAGGAAAAACGAACACGACGAAAGAATTCTTCACTTATAAAGATCTCTATAGACACGAAACTGAAAACGAACCATTGGGCCGAGGTGAGTTTAGCGAAATATCCAACAAGTTTCTCTCGATCCGTGCATCAATATTCACTCCAGAAGGATCTCGTTTTGAGCTCACGGCCACTGCAAAATCAGCCGCATTGAACGAGTTACCCCGGGCTGGCGTCGATTTCGAAGGTTCCGCGGTTTCATCGGTCACAAAAGCTGCGGGACACATTCCTTCGACTTTCGACTCTGAATCTCTGGCCCGTAACCAATGTTCGTCATCCGTGTAGGAAATCAACTCAAGTAGAGAGCCAGCTTTCAGTCGGAGGTCTCCGTCATGCTGAGGCTCGAAGTCATACAACACTCTAAGAAATTTTTGGTTCACCTTTGGAACTGACGGTGTGGCAATTTGAACATCAGGTGCTTCTTGAGCAGCAGGCATTTGCGAAGCTAAATAAACCATTAAAAAGGGGGAAAGACATTTTTATTCAAAAATATGGCTTTAGAATCACGCATGAAAGTTTATCCTCAAAAAAATATATCCACAAATTTCAGACTGGTCGAAAGAAAATCGAGATGATTTAGTGAGGGGGGAAAGTATGAATTTCACGGGGAGAATGAAGTAAAGAGTTATTTCCGGACGATCGCGGATCATGAATGAAATATTAGCAAGATTCTCACCATTTTTGCTGGCAGGCCCAAGAAAACTTGCGGGAACAAGGCCTACATTTCCGGATATCACAGCTTGAACTCGTATCCAATCACCTTCAACCCTTTCTTTGACATACACAAATTCGCCTTTCCGACAGGACAGCTCATTATCGAACTCGGCGGTAAAATCATGCTGAACTGCCAGCAGTTCTAAATCAGTTGGATCGGGATTAGATCCATTGCTTTGAAACTTTTCAGAACCTTGAACAATGGTCAGCACTTGTGCACTTAGAAGACCAGTTGAACCATCATCCAGTCTGCATCTGAAACGAAATAACAATCGGCACACTGAGAAAAGAACACCTCTGCATCGTCTATAAGGAAAGGCAAATAAAAAGTAGCCCGTTTTTAAAAGAAAACGCTTATTGAAAAAACTTTTCTACCCTTAAAACACTTTCAACATAAAATGAATACAGTCAAGTACATGTCCAATTATGAAATCATACAATTCCAACTAAATGAATTCGTTTGACTAAAAATAACTCATCGAAAACCTCATTAATGGAAAAAGTCACCACATGATTTCACACAATAATATTCGTGTTCCGTCAGTTTTCTGAATACCACATATCGATATCCTCTCGAACATAAAGTATTCTATTTTTGAAGCTTTCCAGGACGACAAATATATCATGTATGCTTTTAAATATCAGTTTGTAGACGTTCGCTCAAAAATGCATCCCGTCACAAAGGACACCCTCAATCCTTCATCTCCTGTACCAATGAACACAAAACAATTCCAGCATGTTACTGTACTGTACAATAAAATGGATGCACACTTCAAAAACTTTTTCGACATAATTTGTTTTCGACGCGACCTGGGATTTGGAATGATCAATAAAAGGCATCACCAAAACAAAAAACTGACGAGGTGTGCGGCAACTTTTATCCAGGGGTAGGTTTTTTTTTAGAAGGACCGCAGAGGTCATTTGTCGTTACAATCAATAATTCAATTCCAGAAAATAGTTCAGCCAACTTAAATTTGACCTTTTCATGCTCCATAACGTTCAGATATCACTGATAAAAAGGAAGTCTTTCTCCTTTCAACACAGAATATCTTACGTTAAACTTCACGAAGGACTGCGCTTTCAATCCCTCATAAAAGTCAAAATGACTTACTCGTACCAACCGTCGCCATCCAATTGTAGCACTTCCACTCGGTCACCCTGTCGGACTGATAATTCGCCAGGTAATTGGGCAGTAACATTGGCGGCGGCCAGAGCTTCGCATCGAACATTTTCGCTCACTGGAAGCGTCGCTTGACCCGAAGAATCAGGTTTCGGGTTCACTTCCATGACCACAGACAAAGGAAAACGCCCACACCTGCTCCCGTCGATGCTTTTTCCGAACATCCAATCGTCATTCAGCTTAAATCGTCCAATTAAAAACTCTCCTGCGAATAAAATTTGAGGAAATATTTGACAAATATTGAGGAAATACGTGGGACAGCAAAGTTCATTCAAGAATTTTGATCTCACTGCTTTGAAGGAACACATTCGGAAATTTAAAATTTACCTTTCGAAAACGGCAAATCCTGAGTGGGGTCAGTACCGAGAAATCCTTCCCCGGCAATTAGGATTTCATCCCCATCATGATACGAAGCTCTAATCGGAGGAATCGAGACTCTGGACAGGCAAGATGTCGGTACATTTCCTTCTCCACGGCCGTAAACTGTTCCGCGCACCCAATGCTTCTTCTTACCATCACCCTCCGGTGCATCGTGGACCTTATTAAAACCCGTTCTCGTCAATTCACACCATCAAAATACGAGGCACCATTTTTTTCAGTCACCTGCACAATGTCACCTTTGACAAGGCTCACTTCCGAATCCGAAGCAGATCGAAAATCGTAAACTGCCCTCGCTATCCACATGTTCGGTGACTGACTAGTAAACTAGCTGTACGCAAATTCTGAAGCTTACACTACCTCACATAGCTCGCGGTGCCTGGAGAAAAGCAATGGCAATTCTATCATAAATAAAATGCGTATGACCTAAAAGACCAATAAATAATGAGGTTTTAGTGCATCTCCCTCTTCCATAGACACGGACAATCCTTCCGTCGAAGAAGAGCGAACTTTTGACACATCTGGTTCATAATACTGTACAGTACATGACCAATGCCCTTGCGCGAATAAGGACCTTCGAAGTAGACTACTGTATGAAGAAATGAAAATGTATCATAGAACGACTTCAACTTACAGAATATTGCAAGGATTCAAAATTGATTTCTTGGTAAGCGGAGAAATCCAAGTGGTAAGTGAAAAATTTAAATCACTCAAAGATTCATTCATCAAGGCATCAGAACTGATAAACTGACGCATTTCAAGTACTGTAGTTCCCTTGAACAAATCAGAATTTCGTTCAAGAATAACCGCGTACGAATGGAGGATGATTTTGTGAACTAGGTTTCGAGAAATCGTACAGATTTTCGTACATAAGAGCGTTTTCTATTCAAAAAATGGAACAAGCAATCGAAAATTCGTTGCCAGCCCATTATGAACAGTGCCCAGCGCGTCTTAATTACGAAAATCAACCTCATCTTAACCTACGTCATGCAGTGAAAAGCTGCTTCAGGTCGATGTGAAAATCAAATCAAAAGCTCAATTCTCGTTCCGATGCTCTCCAAAAATATAACCCCCAGCCCCAAAACTCCCAAAAGCACGGATAAAATCTTCCCTTCTTTCCTTAACCCTGAACGCACGCTATGGTCAAATGAGGTTGATAAAATCAGCATGGAAAACCAGAGATGAAATTCCCGTTAATCGATGCAAATTCATCCCTATATTGGACTCGGGGAAGCCGTGGAAGGTTAGATGGCAACAGCCGACGACCTTCCCGACCCAGTGCTCATCAAGATTTTCCGTCATTTGTCACTGGAAGAAAAAGTTTTCACAGTACCTCAAGTTTCTCCACGATGGAAATCCATCGCAGCCGACGCTATTCTATTTGAAAACGCGCTTCATATTGACCACAAACCGCGTATTTTGGCGATAAAATCCGCATTATCCCTCGTCGGGGAAAATTTGACTTGCATCGTGATCGGGAACCGACCCAACGATTTGATCGCCGTTTTGGAAGCGATACGAAGTTTTTGTCCGCGTCTAAAAAAGCTAACGTTCAATATATGGCGTCCGATCGGAGCCGAAATCTTGGAGAAAGTTGCTGAAGGTTGCCAAGCAATCACACACTTGAACATTCAGTACCAAGCGCAAGAACGACTGAATCGACCCGATGCCACGCTCGAAGGGCTCTCGAAGTTCACTGGGCTGATCGCATTGCTCCTCCGAGGGAACGGGCGTACGGTCGACAAAGTTCTCATAAACACAGTTGAAAAAAACACTCCTTTGCGATACATTGACATACTTCACGAAGTAACTGTGAGTAATGAGACCATCAGCACGATCGTCGCGACACTAGGGAACCAACTGATCGGACTACACTTGCACTGCCCGCACTTGAGCCGCATTGCTCTCCAAGAAATCCTTTCCTGCACGGCTCTTGTTTCCCTGACGATAGCCAGCAAGTACGAGCTGTTCACCGACTGCTTGGAGCCGAGGTTACGAGAAATGAATCACCTGAAAGAACTCCGACTGCTGGAGGCCACAGGGACACTTTCGATCGCAAGGTCTACTCAAGAGCGCGGGATAATCGCGGACTTGCTCTGGTCGGAAACTTTTCAACACGTTAAATTCCTTACTTTGTCTTCGCCGCTCATCAACGACGAAAACCTTCTTCTGCTTTGCTCAACGACGCGGGATTTGGAATCCCTAGACTTGGAAAATCCACGCGCTGCCATAGAAATCAGTCCCACCACGGTGTCTTCGCTTAAAACCACGAGTGGGAAAACGTTGCATTTCCTCTCGATCCAAGTCGTGTCCGGAGACTACAACCCTTGGGTAAAGCTTATAAGTAGAGAAAACTTCCCGCAGGTTAGCTACATAAACTTGGTGGTAACCTCGGGAGTAGATCTAATTGTTTGGGAAGAATTGGACGAAAGACTGCACCCGGTGAAAATGTTGGTGAACGAAGGAACATCTCTGAGTGTGGCTGGCCGAGTGATGAACTTGTACCAGCCGTTCGAGGTAAACTTGTTCGCTCTGACCCCGATTTTCCGCAGTCGAGGAACCGATCACAGCACCGACATGCACATTTGGCACGCACAGAATGAGCCGCTTGGTCTCGAAAAACTACCGCAAATAAAATCTGCATTGGAGCCACGTCGATGAATCCATTAATTCAATCCGCCGCAAACTTTCCCTCGAACTTGCAATTTTCTCTCACTTGATACCCTGCCAGAATAAAATGCATTTCATCAGGATAAAAAAGAAGACGATTGGTTTATAACAGATCGGTATAGACAAAATTCTCGACCACCTCGTGCTTTTTTTAGTCAACAATGCCCAAACTATTCATCAACACAGTGACAGATATAACAGAAAGAAAGAATAACTCGAGCATCATTCGAATAGTGAAACGAAAAAAAGAGCTGCAAAATGATCGATATTCACATGAAGAACCTCCTCCCATCGTCAGACTTAAGATCAACCAAAAATAACCGAAAAGCGTCGAGAACGGGTGAAGAAACGAAGAAAATCGAATCTATCAGCTTCAACAAAAAAACCAGCTAGTTCTCGCAAGGATTCGGAAAGTGCCTCCCACTGACATTAGTCAAAACCAGTGCCGAATATTGAAGACAGAATTCCGAATCTGGAAAACCGACGCAAGACGGCGTTATTTCGCTGTCTCGAATGTTATTGAAACTTGGCGTTTGCTTTGATTGGGCGAGATTTCCTCGCGCAATTCGACATTCGTCGCCCAGAGGTCTCAATCTAACCGTACGCCGATCGATTTCCAAAACTGGGAAGAAACTGCAAGGATGTCCAGCACATCGAGGCTGGATAAGCTTGTACCGTGATCACACCCAAGGCGTCCATCCTTCGTACAAAAGGGCCAGGTTATCAAGATTTCTTGCGTCCTGGATTATTGTTTCCACCTAAATCGATGAAATACGATCAAGATTTTCCTCCTTCATACTGAATCTTTAAATCGCGCTTTTCGGGTGCACAGGTCACAGGTGTCTCCTTGTTAAATCTATCAATACTCTTACCTGTTGGCTGATATCCATGCAAGTGTTTCCCATTTCTGTGTCCATGCCATCCAATTTCAACTTCACTCGCTTCCAAACATTCAGCCCAACTTCATTCGGTTCATTGGCATGATAAATGAACGATGTGCTCTCATTGCCTACAAGAAGGAGGTAGAGTAGAATTATTTTGCATGACTCCATAATATTTCAGGTGATTAACATACGTTTTTTCCGCAATTCAAGCTTGGAATCTTTCGCTTCCAAGTTCAAATCAGGATTTTCAATTACACGCGCGCCTCCCAGCGAAGGCGTCGTGAGGGTCCAAAGATCGTCGTAAATACCAGCTAAAATGAAAAATTTTCATTCAACCATTGTGAGAAGAAACAGCGTTGTAGCGTACCAAAGTGAACCTCAGACAGCAAAACTCACGAATGTTTTCGGCGATTCTGGATAACAACTGAAGAACACTGTCATCACGATGAATGCTGGAAGATTCGCCTATGACTACAGCCAATAAGCGGTGGAAATCGGAAGCAAATGTGGCGTGACGTGACAAGTAAGCGACTATCCCGCATCCGTACTCATCTTTCCACTACGAAGAAAAAACATTTCGTAACTGTATTAGGATCCCTCGAAATATGGGATATTTAAACAGCTTCTGTGCAGTAGAAAATCAAGCATTTTCGCAAGTTGAACCTTGGATTAAACGCCAGCACTCAGTTTTAATTCACACTATACATGGTAGGAGAAATGTCCTGATTCTTTTTAGAAGATTCGCCTACAAACCCACTCGACTCTCACATGCTCAGCTCAAAGGCACACGAACAACGAACTAAAAAGCTGAGAGGATTTGGTACGGCTCAGTAATTCAGAACAATGATATTCTGACTGAAAATAACATACGACACTTCAGAAGTTTGTTGCTATGGACAATGAAGAAAAGGTAAGTCCCCACTGCGGAGAACATTTTTTTGGACTTCAGGTCATCAAAATATCCACTTGGATATGTTCAAAAATTTGCAGGAATGATCGGCTAATTCAGCCTGATTATTAAATTTGAAGTCTCACCCTCGCCATAGTCTTCAGCATCGGCATGACACCATGAATTAGCAGCCTATGCAGACCAAAAAGTGCTCGAACTTTTCGGGCTTTCACTTCAACCACTTCACGCTTCGTTCCAACCTCGATCCGAACTTCACCAATCCTGGTCTGCACTTCGTTGATGTCGTCTCGAACTTTATCGCTCACCGCAGATATCCAATGCTCATCCACTCCCCTTTTTCCTATAGGCAAGAGCTTCACCAATTTCTCTTCCAAAGGAAGAATGGTTTCTGTAAACGATAAAAAGAGCGTTTCATAAACGCCAGAATGACAGAAATAAGCTCCTCAAATTTGTTTTCTAAACCGAATTCTTTCGACGCTTCAAACCTGTCCGAAAGCTCGAAAATGCAGAATGATCAGCGAGAGTATTTCTAGTTCTCTGACAGCTGACTAGAAAATACATGTCGGTGACAAAACCCTATACAACACGAGCATTTTCGCAATATATGGCTCGGCATTTCAGTGAATACGTTCATTCTGCGATGATAAATTTTTCAAAGATAGAATCTCTGAAACAATTTATATCACTCACTTTCAACGCTTCCACGAAGGCCACCGGGTTCGTTGTCGAATTTCTCCATCAGGGAACAAGCATCAGAACTCTTCTTCAACAGCGCCAAAAACTCTCTTTCTTGCTGGGCAGTTAGAACGGACGGCTTCCCCTTATGCTGAAGCATCTCATCCTTGTAAATGATATCTGCGGTGGCTGCAAGGCATTTTGCAAGTACAAGCCCCTCATTCGTTGAAAGGTGGGCAATCGAGACACGCTGCTCAAAACTTTCGACGAGTTCTCTAATGCCGTCAGGATTGGCACCACTCGCCCAACGCAGCCTTTGTCGAACTGAATCTACCAACTGCTTCATAGTTTGAGTGTTGAGTTCCACCACACCTACGCTTTGTAGGAGTATGACTGAGCGCTTCGAAAGCTCTTCCATAAACATAATTCGTCCTAAGGAAACACCCGAAAAAAGTCAATACAGTAAAATCTTGTTACAACACATTTATCAGTATAACAAACTTTTTCTCAAATCCCATCCGAAAGCTCATGGAGTACATGTTAAAGCAATCTCACCAGAACAAACTTCCCAATTATAGGAGAGTATTTACAAACGGTATTGAGGAATGTTTGATGGATTTTCCAGGTAAAAATTTTGTTATTAGAGCAGGAACAGTCTGAAATTTCAAATCCCAAATGTGACTGACTGGTTCTTGTAGTATGGATGGAAGACGGACGAATATGATTCAAATGGTTCCACACATCATCCTCCCAAAATGAAGAGCTTCTCTCCTTCTCATATCCTCCCAGATCGAAGATTGGTGAAACTTATGGAATGCATGATTGAAGCTAATTTGTTTTTATAAGACTGCTCAGTGTTTCAAACAAATACAATTTGAGAATGATAGAAAATCAGAATCTAATTGATTACAGGGAGGTGTGATGCGAAAATGATTTCCAGTCATTCTTGTTATAACAAATTACCTATATAGCAAAACAAACTTTTTCTGAAGTCTCCAAAAGTTCGTTGCAACGAGATTTTACTGTATTTCAAGTTTTTAACATATGATCAGAAAACAAATAAATTCCAAAATAAATCGGTTTTTCGCATATTTAAGGGACTTCTCCATAATGGATTTACAATACCAAGGAATCACGTAATTCCCACGTTCATACTTTTTCGCGCATTCAATGCTGAAAACATTTTTCATATGCTGGAACGAAATTCATGGAGAGACAACCTCACCTTGTGGACTCATTAGTCCGGACAAATCCGTAGGAATTCCAGCACCGGAGAACGAAGCAAGACTCAACGCATGTTCTTCAGACCACATCTGTGAAGTCACGATCAACTCCCAGCGATCCAAACAATTCTTTAGGGCAGCCAATTCAACCTGTAATCCCCTGAAGAGCACAACATTTTAAATAATGTAAAAAAAACCAACCAACTTCTCCCGTTTGAAGTAGAGATTTGGAATCCAATCAATCTCCCAATCATAATCACGACTAAAATGACTCATTCATACAGCTTAATTTAATAAATTAAGCAAACTTTTTGTATCGGTTTTGTAAGAGCGAAGAAACGGACATAAATTTTTTTACAGCTGAACATTTCACTGCAACTTCAGTTCACCTCGAACCGCTCAAAAAATTCGCTTCAACTTACTGCGCTTTGTCAAGTTTCGTCACGCATGCATCGTATTGAGAAATCAAGGTTGAAAGGTCCGTCAGATTGATCTCACTGCTGCCGGTGGGAATAATCCGCTTGATGAGGGATCGGCACACAGCTTCCATTTCCACTTGTTCTTCAACATTTCCAGGAATGAAGCATTCTCCAAGGTCAAGCCCAGCTGAATGCTCCAGAATGTAGCAGAGTGTGCATGAAAGAATCTGCGACGACGTTCCCACAACGAGTCGGGAAAAGAATTCCCCACAGTATTCCCGCACGGGCCGCATTAAATCGCTCATCCTCAGATTACTCAGGGTGACCAAAAGCTTCGGATCGGATGTTTCACCTGCGTATTCAAACGGTAGCTAGAAACCAACGCCGAAACTTCCTACTCGAAATAGGTAGACCATGAGAACGCATAAGTAAAATTTCTACTCATTGGTACGAACGTGAATAAGCGCTGGGGCTACTTAAATTAAAAGCAAAATCTCCTTCGTCCAGAATTGACTGTAGTAGCATTATAAATAAACGTTTAAGTTCAGTGAAGTTGGCAGAACTTTAGTACTAACCTCTCCACATCCGATTCACGTGGTGGCAAACGGTGAAAAAATCATATATGCACTGGATTCGCTTGATCAAGAAGATGTCGCTGAGGATCTTCAACGTCACGGGACTGAAAACGGGGGACTGAAGAAGCAAACACATGTAAATTCAACAACGTCTCCACGAAATATACAAAGTAATTACCATCAACGAGCTGGCACTGACGACAAGGTCTACTCTCTGCCAAGTTTTCGACAATTCCAACGACGCAAACGTCATGAGCAGATCATGCAATGTGTCTTCCAAACTCTTGAACAGTCCGTTTAAGGCGTTCAACAGCTTTACACCCTCATTTGGACCATCCACTCCGTCAGTCGTGTTCAGCAAGCCCCAATAATCGTTTATCAGTCCCTCGGCAATCGCTGAGCAGTGAGGATTTTCAGACTAGACAAAAAGTTCCGAATTCAGATGGCCCTTGAAAATCCTCATAAATTATTTGCTTCCTTCAGGTTTAATCGAAGATTTGGTACAGTAAAATTAATTTACTGAATGAGTCAGTGATCCTCAACGATTCCTACCTCAACGCCCATTGTCACACACCGCAGATGCAATTCAAGGTCTATAATCAGTGGCTTCAGGTTAGGAGTCTCAGTACTTTCAGCCTCAAATGCCTGTCGCATAATATCACCGAGCGAATCCATGACCGTAAAGATAGACGGATTTTCCGCGAGTAACAATGCCATCGTTTCCGGCAAGACGATCGATTCCGTCGACACAGTCAGATCCTTCAAAAAAGCGACAGAAAATTAGCTAAATCACACAGGAAATAAAATCTAGACTCTAGAGTTCCATTTCTTGCGATTCCATCGAAGAATCCCTTTCCCAAGAAACAATTTCCAGAACTACTTTGAGACACAGCTGTTGAATCAAGTCTCAATCAAATAAAAAGTTCATCTAATGGCGGGTCAAATGAATGATTCAAATTCTGCACATGTGAGTTCGAGAGTCAATAATTGTTTCACGATTGGAGGGATGATTCAGGAATTCAACTCAATAAATTGCCTTTGTTAATTTCTCAATACAAAAATTTCCAAGAAATCCCCATAGATTCTGTCCTTCAGGATTTTTCGGAGACAAGCGTTCTCTCGATTTTAACCGAGGAAAGCTTACTATTCCTCGAAAAAGACTGAAACACAACACACGCATACACCATTTTCTTCTTTCCACTAGATCACTAAAAGACAAAACTTCCAGAGTTACTGCTAGTCAGCGAAAAAAAAATTTTTCAATGCCCTTTCCAATCCACTCACCCTTAATCGCATGTAAATGGGCCGGATTTTCATGATACAATGCGCTGACGCTCGGGTTGATCGGTGGAAAATGCTAGAACGATCGGTTGAAAACTCGACAGGTCCTACGGAGTCTGAATGTTCCCCGGGTGACCAGGCAAGCACTCTGGCTAATCCGTCAACGGATGAGGACAATTGTAACCACGGTTCCGCCAAAGAGCCAACGTTTATCACGCCTGATTCATCAACCTGAGTTTCGCCGAAAATCCAAGCTGACGGGGTCTCAATGGAGCCGCCTGAAAAAACGAAAAAGTACAGCTCGGTTAAGCATCGTTCTGGTACCGGAGATGTGAACTCGTATAAAATCCGCTGAAGCATTAAGCCATTCAAATAGATAAGAAATTGTAAGAAAATCAGAAATTTCACAATTCCATCTACGACATAAATTCCACAAAACCCGGTACATATCGCATCTAAATCAATTACTAGAACGAAACTCACTCCGAATCACGGTTTCCATCTGCAGAAGTTGCTTGCACAGACCAGTCAACACGGAAACGATTACTGCTTCCATTGCAACAATCCGTCGTTTTTTCGAGAAGTTTCCACCTACAACTGAACTTGTTTCTACGTTCGACGACCATTTCAAAAAAGTTAAAATCGCAGCTTCAGCTTCATTTGTGTCGGGTCCCAAAAGGCTTCTGTTCAGTTCTGCACACTGTTGAACCTAAGAGAAATGCACGAATCGAATCCAAAACAGAGGGAAAAAATGAAGAATAAGTCCAGTGAATTCAATGTTGCCACGAAAATCCCACGAACGGATAAGGAAAACATTCTCGCTCGAGCATGAAAACTCCTTCCCGTTGAACTGCAACAATCCACCCCTCCACTACTTTCGCGACGCAAAAATACTGCACAAAGGTTGCTTCAAAAGTTTTTTCGATCTCATTCTTCAGTTGTGTGAAACATTTATCAATAAGAGGAATTATGTACAGTATATTTGATTCTAGCCTGTAATCAAATTATTGGTTCACCCGCGTTACAGTGGGGAGAGGACTGTATTCATGAGAAGATGAATTACGATGAGGAAGCAACGCTTGCATGTTCTATGAATTTGCAGGTTTCCGTAGCGTAAAAATAATTTCTTTTAATTAATCGAAAAACAGGCATCTATACATACTATACATATATTTATACAGCATATCCAAGATTAGGAAACCAAAAAAGTTTTCCGATTCAGTCTGTGATCAAGCCAATCCTCGGCCTAAACATAAACATGGTTTCAGTCATGCTGGACGTTTGTTTCTCAAAAATCTGAATTAGTAAGCACGACGTTTCTCAAGTCAGAGTTGGCAATCTAAAAATAAAATTCGGCTAATAAGCGAAGACTCGCTCAAAAACTCGTTTTAGGCTGCTCGGCGTTTTGGAGGATTCTGGCGACATAACTGAAGCACAGCTTTAATTTCAATATCGCGTCAAAAATATAAAACCAATTCTCGGCTTAAACATAAATTATCAAGAAGTACAGTTCATAAAAATCACTCACCATGGTAAAACGAGATCGCAATTCCGCTAGCATTCTCTGAAAGAGGACGGCAGCATGCAATGTAACCAGCAGACGCTCATCACTCACAATGTTATTCGGCAACGCTGCTTTCTGCAGCTCTTCACACTTCGATAAAATTTCTTGACACCTGAACAAGAGGAGAAACTCGAATAAAACGAAGATAATGGAAAAAACGAAGAGGCTTACTTTGCCAACGTGAAGTCGCCCATTAATTCTTCGATGAATGACTGATAGAACTTCAATCGACTGTTCGAAAAGTGTCTTCTCGAATAAGTGCGAGCTACAGCGGCATAATGTTGAAGCAGCTCCAGAATCAAATTGATTTCGGAAACAAGGATCTCCAGCGATGCGCTGAACTCGATCTCAGCCAATTCAAACTGCAGAATGCGACGAAATTAACACTTCTAAATTTGATGGCATCATGAACACAGATACACACGTCTTCGTGAAGCTTGGATTTTCCAACTTGTGCAAGGAAATCTTTCACAACCAAGGCACAAGTCGAGGATGTTCGGAGATATGCAACCAGCTTTTTTGCATCGGCGATCCATTCTTGGCATTTTGTTCCCCGAAGTTTCCTGTGAAGATCCTGCGGAATAAATGATCCAGACAATTGATCTTTTCGTGTTTCCAGAAAGAGAAAATAAAAAAGCTTTCATCGTGCAATTTTTGAAAATTTTCTGCACACGATCCTTATTTAATCCGAGTTCACAAAAAATGTTCAGACCAAGAAATAGAATATCAATACATGTGAAACTAACCTCCAAGCTTCGGGTAAATGTTTCGTACTCTCTCAACTTTGATTCCAACGCAGAGAGGGCAACAGTAGTCGTCGTCACGTACATGACCTTCCTCGAGTAGCGTTGGCCAAGAGTATGTAAGGGGTGTGATGGCGATGATTCCGCCTCTTTTAAAACGACCAAAGCTTCATGACCCTCTCGCATTCTTCGCTCCACAGCCATCATCTCAGTCTCGACACCAAACAAAGCCTTAAAAATCACAAGGAATCCCTTCAAAAATGTCACAAATGAATCTGTGAAGTTTAAAATAAAAACGTTATTCATAGTTCTCCATCGCCAAAAAAAAATTGAAGATAATTACTGTTCTGATCATGAATTCACATAAGCACCGGAAAGAATATACTCAGCCCTTTTCAGCGGTCTGTCAGTTCAGAACGATTTACCGAAAACCCAAGGTCCAACTTTTTGAGTAGATAATAAAAATTCAATACAAAGCATGTTCTCAGATTGGCTTCAATTTCGGGAGAGCCCCAGTTGCCGAAGTTTCGTAGGAGGTGAATAAAATGTAAATGTATATGGCCCACGATCAAAAATTTAAAATATTTATACTGATCACTGCCTATTTTTAGGTCAATGTTCCGAAAATTATTCAAGAAGCGTATTCAAGAAGCGTATAAATGGATTTTACGAAGAGGACACATTTTCAGTAAGACAGGGCGGCAAAAGAGATTGAAAACATCAAGCTAACTTCTTAATTAGAAAAATATCAAAAATTCCGATCCAAACGGAAATCGAGCAGAGCACGGCTTCACTATCTTATCGGGAAAGACGAACAAGAGGTGCAATAAACGCACATCCAGAAAAGTCGAATTCTCGAATTCGAAATACTTGCCTGCAGTGCTTGTACCAGCTTGGGAACGGCTTCCGCCAAGTCATCTCTATTTGCCAACCATTCGACTCGCATCTCGGCAAGTCGCAAGGCAAACAACTGACGAGTCGTTGAACGAGCCATTTCGCGGCGCCGCAATACTGTCGACTCATGCATCGCCGCCGCATCCTTCAGATTCTTCCCAGTGCCGTACAAAAGCAACGACGCTTCACACATAACTTCGGATCCAAGATGAGTCCAGTCGACCAGAGGGTCGTACACAAACGCGTCCAGCAATTCAAGAAGCGTGTCTTTACCCTTACGCATAGTTCGCATCACATGCTCGCAACCAAAACGGAACGGCCCCTATTTTCGAAAGTGAACTACTCTCATGAAATTTCAATCCTTAATGGCACAAAGAATTTGAAATTTAGAAATCACCTCAATGCCGGTGACGCCCAAAGCAGCCTCGATATTTTGTGTCAATCGAAAAGGAACTCGCTCCGGAACACGCAGGGTCTTGCCTTTTTCGAAACAAACGTTGTAATCGATGTGGATAACCTTGGAAAAAATGAGTGATCGGTAACGATTAGGCGAAGAAGACAGCTGATTGGAAGCGAAAGCTCACTGAACACGTCAGCGGGCTTCATGAAAGGCAAAAATCTGCGAGGAGTTACCTGGCCAGTACTCAAGTCGAGCAGTATGTTGTCCAGATGGCGATCTCCCAAACCAATCACGTAGCCGATCATACTCATCACAGCAGTTGAAGAACAGTACGTTTGATTTGCAGGCCACCAACTGCTCGGCGTCAAACTGTTCGCCCACAATTCCCTAGGAACCAAAGGTGTAAAATGCAAATTTTCTATAGGGAAAAACAATAACCGAAGACAGAACGCTCGAGCAAATGAAAAAGTGAAGAGAAAAGGAGACAAAATTTTCAAAAAAGACGAGGCTTGCAACACCAAACGCAAGAAATCAACCAGAGAAAATTTTTAGAATGCAAAAATGGGTAAAGGAAGAGAAATTTCGGCATAAGAGCAAGCTAGGATAACTTAAAAGAGGGAATGACATAAAAAATATAAACGCATAAGCAGTGTACGTTTCGCATTAAATTGCAATGAAAAGAGGATAAAAGATCTGTAAGAAAGAACATCTGGCAGTTAAAATCGAGGAAGAAAAATTTCCTAAATGCTACATTTTCTAGGAACGAAAAATGACACGTGTTGCTTGAGAAGAGATCAAGCAACAGACAAACAGAACGCGAAATCTCGAGGACACTTCGCATATCAACTGTAACTTTCTCAAAAGATATACCTAGCGAAGAGATCCTTCGGAGTTTCGCTCATCAGTTGCTTAAGCACCTGCTGCAAAACCGGCAGCGGCCAGTTTTTGCGGTTTTCAACCTTGATGTCCTTTTCCTGGAGCAATGGAGCGAGCTTCCGGAAAAACATATCACTGGGTCGCAGAAACGATGACTGTTGTGCTTGCTGCGTATCATTTGCATTAGCAAGAGCTGCCGCTTCGCGCTGCTGCCAGCGTTTATAAATTGAGAACAGCGGGAATCCGCCTTCAACCCATTCAATCAATCCACCTCGGGGTCCCAGCGGCGTGACGCTGTAATGTCTCGCTTCATATGTTATCCCATCGGGTCTAAAAATTAGTACGAATACGTTTCAAGAAACAAACTCAATAGGAAATACCATGGATTACACAACATTTTTCTCAATTTCGGAATGAAAATAATGGAGTATTAGTCGTAAAATTAAAATGAAGTAAAAGAATATTTTTCAAAAATCAAATTTTCTGAAACGCAAAATATGAATCTTGTCCTGAGTTACAGACTTCCGTAGACGAGTTAGATCTTGACCCCGCAGATGAACGCATCAAAGATAAAAATTTCACGGAAAGATTCCACAGATTTTACGAAATTTTCTCAATTTTAAAATAAAAATAATTGAGTTCAGCTGTAATCTCCAAATTAAGTAGCTCCATATTTCTAAAAAATCTAGCTTTTCAAAACCACAAATATATTCAGTTGAGCAACCCCACAGTTTAGCGCATTCCTAAAGACAGTCCGCCAAAACGAACACGGACTGAAAATCGCGCAACAAAACGCACTTCCGTAAAACGATTTCGCAGTCCGAAAATCACGCAGTTCGATTAGGTGAGTCTCCGCGATTTGTTTTTGAAAGGCCAATCTAATTAATACAATTTTTAAATTACAGTGAGACCCCCAGATGCGGACATAATTGGTGCATCAAGAGTGTCCCTATGTCGGATTGTCCCCAAGTCGAATCTTGTTTTCCCATAGACTTACATTGTATAATTTGTAATCGGCGTTTTATGGAAGAAATATTCTTCAGAAGTTCATGAAAAAAAATGTTTGCCACTTAAATTTGATTCAATGAATATATTTTCAAACCAATAAGAACATTTTGAACATTGAATAGTGTACCTCTGTACAGTAAATTGAAAAGTTGGCATCTGGAAAAATAATATCCATGTCACAAAGAGAGCTAGAAGGAAGTCCCTCTGTGCTATAGGGCATTTTTTAAATTAGCTGAATGGATGGGAAAATGATGGGAAAACTACCAAAGAATTTTTCTTGCATAGATCTTAGGTTGGAAAAATCTGTTTCTTGCAATTAAGCCTTATAAAAATAGATTCCTAAATAGATAAAATAGATCCTGAATAGATAGATAGATTCCTAAAGAGATAGATTCATAAATAGAAAATAGATTTTCCTAAAATTTATTGTGGAATTTTATCCTGCAATGTCCCCAGGTTGAGTCAGTGTCCTCATGTTGGGTCTTTTTTATTTTTTATTTTTTGAAAAATAAATGTCCCCATGTCGAATTGTCCCCATGTTGAGGCATCTTCATGTGGGGGTCTCACTGTATACTGTAGTTTTTAAATGTGATAAGGCACCTCTGAAGGTTCTGCATGGTAAAGGATTTTAGAAAATTACTACCAATTTTACAGCTTGGTGATTTTGCTAGTATAAATACTTTGAAGAGCAGAACATTTTCACATTGTGAATTCCGCCCTCATTGCTATTTTTATCTCGCAATTTGCATTTGCCCAGGTCAATTTTAATGACCATCAGAAGGTCAGTAACGTCAATATTGAATTGAAATCTTGAAACAACAATCAAAAAATTGAATCATTTTTGTTATGACAAAAAATTCATTGCATTTTGATTGGAATAATATTTTGGCTATTTGCAGTACAGTAGTAATGCTGGGACATTTTAAAGGAGCACTCCTTTTTTACACAAGGCCTTGTTTAGAAAAAATTTCAATGATGATGAGATTCTACAATCAAGGATTCCCTATAAAATGTTTTCATGCACCTTGTTTTTGGTGTCATTGACAACCATGGTGCAAAACCCATCATATTCTAACATAAATGCATATGAATCCCTTGTATGAATGACAGTTTTTGATTTTTAAGATTTCTTCTATATCTTGTATTTATAGAAGTACAATTGTTAAATTTTAATTTTATAAGATCATAGGTCAATAAAATGCTGAACTTTAAAACACAGCTGAAGCAGGTCATCAGGTCAGGTAACACACATATTATTGTACATTCCAGAAAGGAAAAAATCTCCAAAATTGAATATTGAACATTGATTGTATGTGTATATATAAGTCCAAACCTTTGTTAGAGAAAGTTATGCTGAAAAAATTTTGATCACAATAAGCTGACCTTCCAAAATTGTAACAGATTAAATACATATTTACAGTCCATTTGTCTTGCTTTCTATATGCTGTGTCATAAAGGTACCTTGCTTCCTCTGAAAAAATGGTCTCTGATAAATACAGAACATAATAGTTGTTTGAACCATGTTTGTATGTGAATTTGAAGATTTCCCTAATGCATATCCCAAATTTTGATTCTAATTTATATTTCAAAGTTATTCAATGTCAGTAAAATAAACATATATATCATGATTTAATCCTTTTTCAGTCATCAATTATTCATGATGTGACAGTTGCCAGATTAAAATTTATGGAACTCTTTGGCCCATCAGCATAAAATGGTCAATTCTTTTCAAATATAAACCAGGTATAACAAAAATTTAAAAGATTGATTGAACACTTCTTGTTCATCCCAAAACCAACCAGCTTCACTCAAGCACACTCATCTTTGTACATGAAATAACCCACTACTACACATTCACTGCAATTTATTCGACACTTCACTCAACACAGCTCAGGTTGAAATAACGTCAGATGGAGTAAAACACAAGCAGTCAGTTCAATAAAACGCCTTTTTTTCGGAAAACGAGGTTAATTACCGTATTTCAAGTCCACCAAATGAGGTCATTCTTTTTTTTTCTTTAATTTACGCCGGGGTCAAGAAAAATTAAACAATGAGATCCACATCAGCAAGAAATTTCACAACACTGCGATTGTGCAGCAAAATGGTTCATATATATTTTTTTCGTTATTGTCTCCTGTCGACATTTTCAGTGGACAGATGTGGTGTCGATGCCGTGTCGACTCCGACTGACGAAACTCGACGCAGGAGAGCGTGTATAGAAGGATAAAATTATAGCCCCTGCAGCTCAGATCATCATCATGAGGATGAAGGAAGGCAAAAAGTGAATGTTATTTTTTCCTCGCCCTGCTGATTTTCTTCTTTCCTAATTAGACGAAAAACTTCCTGCCGCTCTTTTTTTTTTTACCTTTTCCTTCTTCCGATATGAGGGACCTTTTGCTTCCGTTCTGGGTGACATGACGTCATGGGCTGGCTCAATGACGACGGAAGCGAAAGATGACGATGATGACGACCTTCTCTGCGCATCCGCGGGTGTCGGGAAGGGGCGACGATGGTCAGTCCTGGGATTTTCTGGGAAAACACCAATATATAATTTCATACACACACACACACACACGAAAGGTTATTTTTTTCCCAAGTGCAGTGAAGTGTTGCTGTTCATATCTTGATGAGAATTCTGTATATTATCCAAAACAATAAGTGAATGAATGAATGAACAGAAAGCTTTATTGTATCTGCTTCTCAGCATTTCACAAGGTTTAATCAACATTCCCACATCCAAACCCATTCCCCATCCAATCCAAATCCATTCAAACGCATTATTCAATCACTTCAGAACGGGAAACAGAGAAATAGCTGTACAGTAAAATCTCATTACAACAAATTCCCAGGTACTTGGTAAAAAAATTTGATAAACAAAAAATTCGTTGTATTGAGATTCATGATTTCTAGCACATTCTAGACTATAGTTTTGTCAGAAAGGGGCAATGAATACTTTCAAGTGCTTCCAAAACAAATAATTCAATGATTAAATCATAAATATTGAGTATTCTTGATGAAATAAAAAAAGACCTTGAAATAAATAGAACTTTCCTTCTGCTGAACCTGCTATTCTACTAAAAAGTGACATTTGTTTCAAAATATACAATGAACATAAGCACAGTACATGTAAGAGGAATGAATAAACTGTTTCATTCTTGCATGTTATAGCATACAGAGGAATATTCTCTGAAACATACCTTATATTTTGGGAAGAAAAGCATATAATCTGGAATGGAGCTACTGAATTTCCAAGACATATATCATGTTTAGTATTTTTTGAACAGGAAGATTTTTTGGCATACATTTTTCCTTATTGATAAAGTTAGAATTGTGCACCTTTTATTTTTTAGTCATACATATTGAACAAACCCTAGTGTATTAATAAAGAGTGATGGACAAAAATTTGTTATAATGAGATTAAAGCCTAAAATGTGCTCATTGTAATGAGATTTTTATAACATTATGCCTATGGGAAACTGCCAGGACCAGGAAAAAAATTTGTTGTAATGAAAAATTTGTTATAACAAGCTTTGTTGTAATGGAATTCTACTGTATATGGATACCAAAATAAAAGAAAATACATTCCACAAAGTACAACTGCACAACTTATGTGTATGCGTACACCCTCTTCTTTCCCTGACATTGAAAACAAAATATGGTATCAGTAACAAGAATTGCAGCATAAGCCAGAACTATAGCAATTGCAGCAGTTACTGCACCCCATTCAAAGCACAGGGTCTTCAGCCTGTTTCCCAGATAATATTTAGTTGAATTAACAATTTAGTGAGAATCTTTGATGAGAAATCAGAAAAGGCCAACAGTTTATTTTGATCCTCTAGGATTTCAGGAAGGGTCTCTTGAACCTTGTGAACACTGAAAAGTGGAAAATAAAGCTTTCTGTTCATTCAACAATAAGTTGTGCTGGACCTTTCACAAACAGACACAGAATCCCTTGGGAAAATTTTGAAAATTAAAACTGATTACTGCAGCTAAAGTTGGAAACTTTGCACATTTTTATTTTCTTCAGGGCAGAAAAATATCAACAGGTTTGAAAAAGAAAAGGTTGCACATGACTGGGTTTGTTGAACTTGTAAATTTCAATAAGTTAAATTTGTTTATACAGTCAAAGTGTTATGAAACTATTCATGAAACTTCCCTTCTGTCAGATTACAAAAGTTAAGAATGTCAATTTTTTTTCTTAAAAGGCTGCACATTTTTTACTGTTCATGGTTTGTTGAACTTCAGCATGTGCGGAATTTTTCCTGAGAACAGAGGAAGGTTAGAATTTTGAGAGCATTATTTAATTGATGCGCCTTTTGGGGCGCGCCTTCAGCTAAGAAACGAACCCTTCAACAGGGCCTCAAAATTAAAATTAAAAACACAACAACTTGGCAGAAACTGCGATAGTAAAATACAAACCCATCTTTGGGTAATTGACTCTTGTCTAGGGTCAAACAACCCTCGATTTTTTCTCACTCCTGAAAAGGATCAAATGTCAAAAGGGGGAAACCAGACTGTCCCAGCTGCTGGTTCTTTGGCACACCTGGACCATCCTGTCATCTTGGAAATTTAGAAACGTTTTACCATCTAAAAACATGCCCCTTCACTACTCAAACCATTTATCCTTGTCTCCCTGAACATGCGGAGCCTTGTAAAATTTACTGAAGTTGAAAAACGCCCAGTTTTTGGGAGAAAATTTACGCGCCAAGTGCCTCAAATTTTTTGTCTTGAAAAACACCAATACCTGGTGTTTTTCTGTGCTTCACACCCAGCTGCTGGGATACCCTGCAGGTACTATGTACCCCACCACTTTATTTTGCATAAAAACCCTTGATTTTCCATTCCCACACACAGTCTGATTTTTGCCGTCAAAGCGTTTCGTTGCGTCGTGAATCTTGTACTTTGCGGAAAAACCCAAAACTCTGTGAAAAACTGTTGTGAATATTTTTTACTGCGGGAAACTGTTGTGCATATTTTTGTCTTGCTTATCTACTTAATGTTGAATTATTTGAACAAAGGCTTGCGCTTTTTGGGAGAGAATCCCTGGTTGGTTTGCGCACCGGCCAATTGCTGTGTTGAATTCATTTTTCTCATTTTTTCTTATCATCAAAGAATCATCTCTTAATAGTTGACTCATAAGTACTAAATTAATTCCTGTCAACCTAATTATCCTAAACAGTACTTGCAAGGTGTACGGCTTGCTCCAATTTATTTCTCTTTTCCAATAAAACCGTACACAGCATATGTAAAAGTTGAAATTGTTACTGTACAGTCACAGCTTTCAAATTTTCACATTTTCTTCCTCTCCATTCATAAAGAATGTCTGCATAACATAATTGCACATGACTGGGTTTGTTGAAATACAAAAAATATATACTTGCTCCTGCTGTATAGCCAAAGTTTTAAAATTGAGATACCTTTTACCTTTGTCCAGAAATGAACTTATACAGAGCAAGACTATTGCATAATTTGCTGGTATCCATTGTGTTGGGGACTCACCACACCCCTCAATTAATCAAGACATAAAATGAAATTTGGGGAAAATCAAATTGGGTGGAAAACCAACCAAGTAGAAGAGTTTAGTGAAAACCAGGAATGTCTCTTTCCCCTCCCCACAAAAAATCAAAACTTCTGTGCCAAGATGACTTTGACTCAACTTTTCCTGACCAATCACAGGCTGTTTGCTTCATCCTCACCTTGATCACAATACTGGATTGAGGACAAGATGAAAAAATTAGAATAAACACTTTTTTTCAGCAAAAAGTTATCATCAGTCCATGCTATTGTCAGAAGCAGTTGAGTCAAAAAAAGATTTTCTGAAATGTTTTATCTGTTGTTCAAAATATTCTGAAGACTTGCTAGATTTGCATTGTTGTGTTGTGAGGGACTTGTGACTTCCTAAAAATACAGTAAAATCTCAATACAATGAACTCACAATAATGGGACCTGATACAAAATGGGCAATAAATACTGTAGATGAGTGCTTCCAAAATAGGTAATTCAAGGCCTATAATGAATGAAAAATCATTTCTGGTGAAATGGGGAGAAAATCCCTGGAATAAGTAACACAGTAGTGACAGTACTTTCCCTGATCATTGAATCTTCCTTTCTACTAATGTGTCTGCCTTGAAAAAATAAAATATGATTTTATGTGGTGGAAATACTGTACTTCTGTCTGCATAAGTATATTTGTTTATAGGTGTCTGTTCTTCAAATGAAGGAACAATCTTTGTAACATACTGGTTGAATTTGAAAGGAAGGCATGCATTCTAGAATGGAGCTGAGGAATTTGAAAGATATATTTTATGCGTATTTTTTTAAACACCACTTGTCTCAAGAAAATCTGTTCCTTCTTTGATGAAGTTGGAATGTTGCACCTCTTCATTTTTCTGGGTTTCCTTACATGTTTCATATAATCCCTTCAGCCTATGCACAGAATCAGGGACAAAAATGTGTTATAATGAAATTACAGCCTAAAAAAATTTTGTTAAAACAAGATTTTTGAACATTGTGTCTGAGGCAAACTCTGGGACCAAGAAAAAACACATTATAACCTGAAATGCATTTAATGAGATTTGTTATTGTAACAGAATTATACTGTATACCTTACTTTTTAATTAAGGGATTCTACTGAGAATCCCCAGCCTGGTCCCAGGCTGAATCTGCTCTTTATTTCCTCTCTTTTTTTTCCTCATGATCTACAGCCAAAAATCGAATCCCTGTGTTGCCACAACCTCTTGCAGCAATACAAAACATTGCAAATGCAATCATCCAATAGAATAGAAGAATAATAGAAATGCTCATGAACCGAAACAAAAAAGTTATAGCTTTTGGATGCTGGAGACAGAACTTTTCAAAATTCAAGGCATAGGATGCAAATAAGCCACACACAAGGTCAAGATATCAACCTGAGCTCAACTGAAAAGGAAATTTTTTTTTCATGTGGAACACAAGTTTGAATAGCAGTAATTTAGATGGAATTTGCATTCAATATTAAATCCACTACATGCAATAAGGTTCATCTAATTTTTTTTCAATTTAAATGTCTACAATAATAATTGGTCAACAATGATTTGCTTTTTTCTTGCCCCTTAAGTTTTCCTGTAACAAAATTCTCTTAGCAACAAATTTTCCCTGACTCATCCCCTGAATATTTTAGTGAATTTCTGATTCCATGAATATATTTCTCTGCAACAAAATCCTCCCAGCAACAAATTTTTCAACTGTCTGTTCCCCTAAATTTACCTTTACAACGAAAGTCTTTCAACAACGCATTTTTTCTTGTTTCCAGAATTTCTTTGAAGCAAAATATGATTTTTTCTCTCAGCTCCCCTGAATTTTATTGGATACAGATGGTCCACCTGTATAAGGCAACGATGTTGCCAAGAATGGGAAACCCCTTGCCCAACTTTTAGGTAAAAATCTCCAATCCAATTTGGAATTCCCCTGATTGCACAATAACCTTTTTACCTCCATTTTCAATGCTGACATTTTCCCCTCAATCTTGATATATCATTTGTGGTGAGTTCACTTACACCCTGAGAATCACATTTATTAGTGTGTGAGTTATTGTCTGATTTGAAATAGAATTTATCTTCATTGTCTTTGGAAGTTCTACCTATGGCTTCCCTGCTGTGTTCCCTGACAGATAGTGTCTTGTATTTTATTCATAATACTGTATATTATCTGAAATTTGTTATTTGTGAGGGCCTTGCCCCACAGTAAACAGTCAACCCCTGTCTTAACAGACTCAATTTGTTCAACGGAAATGTGTGTTAGGCAAAAAGTCCTTTATAGACAAAGTCTATTATATACTAAATTAAAAATTTCAATTGTCAGCACTAGTTTTCAACTAACTGAAGTCTGTTTGGCAGATTTTGTCTGTTTGGCGGGAGGAAAAAGTGTCTGCAGAGCTGGTCTGTTAGGCAAGAATCCCTTACGCAGGAGGTCGGTTATGTGGGGGGCACTGTATATGCATACCCATTTTAGTCCTCTTATTCAGAAAAAATGAACAATTATACACCATTGTTTCCCAGCATAAGCAGCAAGTGTGACACACAGCATGCACCTTTTGGCCAGTGTGCAATTACAGTGAGACCCCCCACATGCAGACACATCAACATGGGGACAATTCAACATAGGGACACTTATTTTTCAATTAAAAAAATCATAAAAAAGGCTCAAGATAGGGACATTGACTCAACATAAAGACATTACAGGATAAAATTGGCAATAAATTTTAAGAAAATTGACTTTTATTAGGCTTAATTGCAAGAAACAGATATTTCCAACCCTAAGATAAATGCAAGAAAAATGCTTTGTTACTTTTCCCATCACTTTCCCATCCATTCAGCTGATTTACGCATCTCCATCTCACACATTTATACAGAGTTGATTAAAAAATAAATAAAAATCCTAGTGGGGTAGGTTTATAAGTTTTAAGAATTTTTGAAATAGATCCAATGCAAGTTTCAACATTTTTTAAAATGTATTCATCAAATTTGAAATTTATAAAAATAATTCGGACAAACAAAAATTCGAGATCTGCTTTGTCCAGAAAAAAGGGTTTGAAGGAGGAATGATTTTGAAAAAAAAAACCTTATTTCTGCCATACAAATCAACTATTGTGATGTGCAATCATCAATTTTTGGCACTGTTCTGATCTGTTGGATTTATTGCATGAAAAAATGCACTGAAATTGGTGGAGATTATTTTGAAAAGCAATGAAGTGTCGCCAAATGATGGGGCTAAGCAAAACAAAAAAAATTTAAATGGCTGAAACACTGTTGGATCTATTTAAAAATATTTTCATGAAGTGTTCATGCAATGAAGTGTTGCCAAATGATGGGGCTAAGCAAAACAAAAAAATTAAAATTGCTGAAACTCTGTTGTATTTCTTTTTTTAATTGCATGAAGTGTTCATACAATGAAGTGTTGCCAAATGATGGGGCTATGAGCAACACAAATAAATTAAAATTGCTGAAACTCTGTTGGATCTATTTCAAAAAAGTACCATGAAGTGTTCATGCAATGAAGCGTTGCCAAATGATGGGGCTAATAAGCAGAACAAAAAATTAAAATTGCTGAAACTCTGTTGTATTTATTTTTTTAATTGCATTAAGTGTTCATACAATGAAGTGTTGCCAAATGATGGGGCTAAGCAAAACAAAACAAAAAAATTAAAATTGCTGAAACTCTGTTGGATCTATTTCAAAAAATTTTCATAACTTATGAACCATCCCTCTTACAGCAAATCTATATGGAGTTAATTTTTAAAAACTAAATAAATAAATGTACACTATGCATAGGAGCAGGAAGCAGGAAAATTAATCGAAAAAAAAACTTGTGTCGTGACTCTCGTGAGACTCTGGTTTTTTTTTTTCTGGCCTTGCTTTTCCCATCTGAAAAAAATAAAATAAAAAACGATGACACGTAGTTCGTTGAGCGGAAAGCGTGACCCGCTGTTGTGTATTTCAAGTATTATATTTGCAAGGACTCGCTCATCGTCACCCAAGTTTGGCTGAAAGCCCGCGGGCGCATCAAACCGTGTTTAATTAACTATAATAAGCGGCCTCTCTGTGTCTGTGATATACAATGAATACGTAGATACTGGGGTGCAATCTTATTATTCCCGGGGCATTTAAGGGTGGTGATAGTGATGCTTGAATCGGTTTTGTGCTGGCCATATCGTCTTTTATTGAATGCGAGGAATTCCAAGAGCTCATGTGAAGCATACATTCCAGCAGAGATGCTTCAGTGGGTTTGTGTCATTTTTGTCTCACAGGAAACCTTCATGGTTTGGACCTATATACATATACAGTAAAATTTGTTACAACAAACTTGTGGGGACTTCAGAAAAAGTTTGTTGTAACCAATAACTTTTTACAAGATTTTGAAAATTATTGACAGATGGGAAGATTTTCTTCAAATTAGACCTGCATACGAGTATATTCTTTGTTACAACAAACTTGTGGGGACTTCAGAAAAAGTTTGTTGTAACCAATAACTTTTTACAAGATTTTGAAAATTATTGACAGATGGGAAGATTTTCTTCAAATTAGACCTGCATACGAGTATATTCAACATCTTCCTTTTGTGGCCTTTTCAGATGTTTTTTGGTGGTTAAAAAACTGTGATCATCAAAAAGAAATGTTATTGTTAATAATAAAAAAAACAGATAATCTGAATAACAGGTAAATATTAGCACACTTTCTTGACTTAATATTTTTCAAAGCAGTTCCTGCAAAGATTTGTAAATTAAAACTTTCGCTAAAAATTAAACAAGGCAGAGGTGTGATGTTTTTTGTGTAACATCAATGAAAACAAATGCAAATTCAAAAGCGTCAAGACAATATTAAATTCTTCAAATGACTGAGCTTATTGCAAACACAAGTTTTTGCCCTGATTCTTTGCTATCTTCAGATTTACAGCCTATAAAGTATATTTTATAAAATTGCGCCTATGGAGAAACTGCTGGGGGACATAAAGGTAACAACTTGTTATAGCAAAACAATTGTAATGACAAGACTTGTTCTAGCAGAATTTTACTTTATTTGCTTTTTTAGATGAAAAAATCAAGCAGGAAAAAATACTCCCAAAATATTCATCAAGGTACCAGAATTAAAGTATGCAGGTGATGTATATTACTCAAGTATACTTGTCAAGAAAAAAAGCCAAAAATGTATTAAGAAATAAAAGCGTTTTATTTTGAGAAATTGCACATACAACAGCAGAAAGATGTTTCATGGATTCAGAGCATCTATGAGTTTATCCCAGTCAAGGAGGGAGTCCCAAAATAGTTTGTCAGAAAATGAGTCATAGGCTCCAGATGACAGAGCAATTGCATACAAAACATTGCTCAGACTCAAACAAAGCATGACCCCAAGAAAGTTTGTGTTTTCCATCTTGTTCTTCTGCATTTGATGCGCTGCCAATAAAACCAGGGTGGAAACTGAAGTTAAAGGCCGCTTTCTGCCAAATCCCAAGATACACAAGACCATGGAGTACATGATGACCAGCACCTGTGGGCATCAAGTGGTGTTTATACTATGTCGTAAAGAAAGTATAAAGACACTATCCTTTTGTGTAATTTCAACTTTTTTTCCATATTACGTCCCTTTCCCTTTGTCAAAAGTACAAAGTTTAACATACGGACATACAAACAAACTGCATGTGGCTGAAATGCATGATTACCATCCATATGAAGTATTGTAAAAACAAATAGGTTGTTAGAATTTCCAGAGAACTTCACTGTTCATGTCATATTAATATTAACATAAATTTGAAATAATTCACAACATCCAGACAAATCTAGGATATATTGTACCAAAATATAACTTTGATTTGATCTTCATGAATTCTGCATCATCCACATCAGACCAGAAAGTATAAAAAGGCTCATAAAAAAGCTTTAAAATATTTACAAAATCATCATGCAAAAATGTCACAAGGAAATCTAGGCCACTGTATAAAAATGTCATGCCCCAACAGTTGGAATAAGGACTCATCTGCAAATAATAATCTTCTAGACAAGTGAGGTGTGAAACTAAGATGCTCTTGACTGCAAGTGACACCTACCAATATCCAAAATTACTTTCAGCAGGACAATGAAGGTAGGGGAAAAGGTTTTAAATCACAGATTGCCCTGACTAAATTTATTCTTGACATACTATACTGTACATTTCGTTATTTACAAAAGTTTCATGCATACCTTATGTCTATATTAAGAGGCAAAAAAGGGAGTAAATGCATCATATTCAGGCAAAAAAATTTACAAATGCAATTTCAAAAAGTTCAGACATGTGGCAGCATACTTATTTCTAATAGGAAATTTTAGCCAATTTTGTGTGATATTTTTTTTTAGCAGAGATTTATCAAAATTTGAACTTTGATGTGTTTCATTCCTTTAATTTTGCAAATTCCCTGTCACTAAAAATGAGATGCACATATAATTCGTCAGAGATGGGTTTTTGCCTTGTTGCTATATGTCAGTGAAATCACATCATCCCATTTTTTACTTGAATGGAAACCTATACTTAATTGGTTCTTCAGTGTTCAACCAAAATTTGGAATAAAGCCCCCAAAAAATTGAATAAAATGTGTTTCTCAACTTCAAGATACAGAATATGATTGTACATTACAGTACTGTATAAGAAACCCAAACAAACTTCTGATGTTTTGGTATAAAGATCCCCAAAAATCAAAGAAAAGGTATCATGTACCTTGCTATAAAATGTGCACACATGATGAAGATTACTCCAAAGAAGCAGCACAAAATCAACCCATTTTTGTGTAAAAATTCAAGTAAATTTATACAAATAGCTTGATATCTTTGAAGGATATGCAATTTTGAAAAAATAAAAAATTGCACATTTTCTAGAAATAATGGAAACGTGTACAATTGTTGAGACATTGTCCTGATGATGGGGTATAAGTTTTAAAGTTCGATGCGTCCCTAAGTTAAAACGTCCTTATATAGGGGTCTCACTGTAATGAAAATGTATACCCGAGGACACCACCGTACTAATACTGTACTATTTTACACCATGCAAGTGTGGTACATACAAGTACTGTAATTATAAGGCATATTAAATTTTTAATTAACATTTTTGTTTTGATAAAACTTTTTTTTTAGCTGAAACATGAAATTTATTTGTTGTTCTATTAACACTTCTAAGTTCTAGTCACCACCTAAAATACAGAAAGAATACAGGTAGAAACAACAACATTAAAATTGCCTGGCTGGCCTAAATTTTTTTTTAGCTGAAACATGAAATTTATTTGTTGTTCTATTAACACTTCTAAGTTCTAGTCACCACCTAAAATACAGAAAGAATACAGGTAGAAACAACAACATTAAAATTGCCTGGCTGGCCTAAAAAAATATTTCAGCACTTTTTTTCAACAAAGGTGGAGAACTTAGGCTGACCTCGCTGATGATGGGCAGCACGTTTTTAATTCTGCTGACGCTGAATTGATTTCTATTATAACTCGTCTGAACCACAAGCAACGCAATCATCGGAAGCAGCCACAACAAACAAATCCAAGGGTCAAGTTGGGGCACCAAAGCCCATGTGAATTCAATCCCCATCACTGTCAGGCCAATCAACCCAGGCAGGTGGAACAATTGCTGTTGAAACGTGGTGAGAAACTCGGAACGCATGAAGTTTGCTGCAAAAAAAGGTAGTACAGTATAAGAATAAGTTTTTCAAATTGTCTTTAATAAATATGAAGTCAAACCACAGTCAGGAGTCCCTCAATAAAACAGCCACCACCCTTATTGTCAACTGTATAAATTATTTTTTGGATAACAAAATCTTACCTTAAGATAATGGCAATGGAAACCCTGTTTAAACACCATCTACCAAACTCAAAAATGCTCCTGAAAAATAATTTTTGTCTTTCATATAAGCCTGTCAACAATATTAGTGTTCTCTGAGAAAAAGGTCTTCAAGTGAGAAAAAAATACACTCCCACAAAGATGACATTAATTACAGTACTTCCTGGGAACATCAACAAAAAGATTTAAAAAAAAAGGTTGTCCAATTTGGATGCAACCTAAGGTATTTCTGAAGGTTAGGTATGATTTTAAAAAAAATATTCACTATAATGAAATAGCCCAAATGCAACATCCCGAGACCCTAAAAAAGGGTAAAAATTTTTGTACTAGTTAAATGATACGTACTCACTTTTGAAAGGTCAATGACGATCTCAAGATATGGGTATACACAGTGACTACCCACGATTATATGTGTCAAGCCAGATGAAAATAGAGATTTCTTTGTTTTTTTGAACCCCTGTCTAAAATGCAGAAAAAAATATGGATCAGAGCAACAAAATTTGGATTTTTACATTTTTGTATTCATAACTTTTTTTAAATCTGAAAATGTTATTTCTGATGGGCTCTTCTAGCACTTCTAACCACCACCTAAAATATAAAGAAATACAGGTAGAAACAATAAAATTTAAAGTTTCTGGTTGGCCTGAAAATTGTTTACCACTCCATAACATAAATGGAGAACTCTGCCTGTGATAGCTCAAAAGTTTTCACTCATCATCATGCAGTAAAATGGAAAAAGTTTTTGAAAATAAAAATCCCAGAACTTTGAAGCTTCATAACATGGGTTATAGCCTGACTTTTTGTCAGTCAAACAAACTGTAGAAATAATCAAGGTCATGTCCAAGTAGGACTAGCCTCATACAATTTACTCATCCCAGGGTTATTTTGATTGTTGTCTAAAAGAATAAAAATGGTAATTTCTTATCATACTTCATTTTTTCACTATTTCAGTATTTTTGATAAAACCACCAACACCCCAATTAAATTGCCTTACAACCTCACAAAGAATGGTGGTGGCTTATCAAAAGGTTTGACTGCACAATACATCTTCAGGGCTTCCAACTGAATCTGAGAAATAACCTGTTCTCATGAGCGTCATCCCAGCCCACAAAATCAACCCCATGTTCCAGATCATGAAAAACGGGTGTTGTTCGAACCCTTCAACCGGCAAATGGAACTTGAATCCCATCAAACGTTCTTCGTTGGCCACCAAAATGGCGTACCAGGCCGAGGCTGCCAACAGGCCCAAACTGCCAACAACATCGTATGATACTGGGCAGCAGGCCAAAAGTTGACAATGGGACTGGAAAACAAAATTTTGAAATTAGCATTTTATTAAGACACCATGAAAAAAAAAAAATCATTCCTAAATACATCTGAGCGGTTCCTGGAATGCGCCATTTCTCTCAATAAACGTTGAAGGATACCACATGACTTATTGAGTTCTCAAAAACGGGTATGTCATCAGTGTAAAATGTACATCAATTAGTGTGAGTAAGTGTAACTGAGTAAAATGGATAGTATAGACTAAACAAATCTAAAATTATGTAACAAAATCTATCTTGAGTACATCTGAAGAGGAACTGACACACTCTTTTCCTTGTGCAAACATCATGAAGGTTACTGTGTTCAACAGTTTGACACACATAAAAATCCCCATGTTGCACCAAGTTTTCCAACAGAGCTCAATGCCATCATATTTCATTGGTTCTCCCTTGAATGAAAAATTGATGAAAAGTCCCTCACCCTCTGGAAAAACTGAAAAAAATGTTTCCTTCACCTTTAAGATACAGAACATAACTACAGTATAGAAAAATAATTATAGTAGATTAAAAAATTAATCTAAAAAACCACATATGGTTTTTTAGATTAATTTTTTAATCTACTAAATTTTTTTGTGCTTTTTAGTCTCACTTGAAAAACATGGTTTTTTAGATTAATTTTTTAATCTACTATAATTATTTTATTCTTTTTAAAAATATTCTTATAATTTTTCTTTTCACAAAAGATTGCATTGTCATCAGTTTCTAAGCTATCCTGAAAGTTTCAGCTTGCTAGCTAGTCGGGAAGTGAGCAAAATTTGAGTTGCAAAATTTGATCCAGACAAACAAACAGACAAGAAAGTGAGTTCATAAAAACGTGGTAAAAACGTGTTAAAATAACATTGGATCTGATCTTCTGGCATCAAAAAAGAAGCTCAAGAAGTGAAGAAAAAAATTGAGTCTTGCTACACTGTGCACAGATGATGAGATGTACAACATTTAGCTTGTTTTGAGATTATGAATTGAAGTAAATGCATAATGAAATGTATTTTAATTTTTTTGAATATAAATAGCTCAATTTTTATGAGAGGTACCAACAAAAAAATAATAAAATGTCATAATTTTTCTGGAAAATTTCAGCAAAATGTCCCAGTATCTTGGGCTGTTGTCTGGAAAAGCGTTGTTAATTTTGCCACAACTTAGACCAATCACAATCACAAGCTTGGCAATAATTTTTTTTCTCATTCCAATAGTGATTGTGCATCAATTTTTTGGAGGCTTGCAATTGTACTTGCAATTGGGGTAAATAAAACTGGTATAATCACAATCACAACCAGTAACAAATACCTACAGCAGTGTATGCATTTTTCTTGGACAAATTTATTTAAATCATGATCAAAATTCAATGAAAAACAAAAACAATTTTTTTCATCAACTGTGTAAGTTGCTAGGTGGAGGAGGATTTTTATGGCTCCAACTTTGAACAGGTTGGCAAAGAAAGAAGCTTATTATAGTTTTTTATGGTAATTTTACTCGGATGCAAGAGTTTGGTCATTCAATCATTGAATAATACCCAAGGAAGGCAGCTTTCTTCTTTTTTCTTTGTGAGAATACAAAGGAATGAGAAAAGATGGCTTCCATATGATGCAAAGTATTGTTTAAATTATATTTTCTTTGGTACTCTCTTCATCCATTCACAGGATTGACTTTTTGGTAATACTTTGAGATTAATCAGGGATTATCACAATAAATGTAAAAAGCATAGGATTGAAATCTCGCAAGGGGCTGCAATTACCCTTTGTGATTGCAATTGGGCAAAAACACGAAGAAATGTATTGTGATTGCAATGGGGGATTTAAAACATTATCGCCTTGCAATCGTGATTTTGATTGGGGAATAATTTTCTTGCTGGACTGCGATTGCGATTGGGCAATTATATCTTTCATTGCGACCAACAACCCTGGTCTGGTACGTTCAGGCAGTTGTTTTCGTTTCGAGTTTCAACTTTCAAGTGACTCTAACCCGAATCGTCCGCAAGTCAGGGTCTCACTGCACACACACACGAATACATTAGACAGACACAAACTACGCTACAGTACAGTACTCAAAAAACGGGGTTTCCATAACGAGTCAGCGGTTCATTATCAGCGCGTCACATCAAGCACAACAAGGATAAATGACACCAGTTCCGCAACACGGATGCCTTTAGGTAGGATTCCCTCACAACAAACCAGGAAGCCATAGCGATCACAAGCCACAAGTTTTTTCTTTCTCGCCCACATTTGCAAAAAGTTCATTTCACCCCTCCCCAATTTTCCCTCTTAACGCAGAAAAAAAACATGGGCAAAAAATAAGGGAAAAAAACCCCCACGCGGTTAAAATACGCTTGAAAAATAGCCCAAACGAATTTGGCGGAATGCTTTTTCGAAATGTACAAGCCAAAGCCCGTCGTCGTACGCCGTCAGTTGATATGAATAATACAATACAATACAGTAACAATAATAATTCGTAGAAACACCGTTGCCAACGTCCCTTCAACGATCACCCTCAGATTCCGCAAAAGCCTGCCAGCATTATTAGAGGTACGGTATTCACTTCGACTATAGGCCACACTTTTCCACCTTTACAGAGTACCGGTATACGGACCAAACGCGACATATTTTTGTTGTTGTCTCGGTCTCATTGAATTCAATACATTTCAGCTTATAATCGTCTCAAAATTTGGGCTCACTCGTTTTTTTTTTTTAAAGGAACTAACAAATTAATGCAAGGCAAGTACTTTACACAGTTGTGGCCTAAAGTCGAGTGAATACGATAGAATACGCGTAAACGTCTCACACCAATGAAAGGAACGATTTCGAGCAAAAAGCAACAGCGGGGCACGAAATGCCTCGTCCGATTCACAACGCCCGCGTTACGTCACACAAGAAAAAAAAAAGATTACACACGCAGAGACACAGGAAGCAAGGCACAAGCTCGGTAATCAAGTTCGCTGCTGGCAGCAGGAAGGCACAAAACCCACAATTTCACCGACCGTCGAAAAAAAGAAAAAAAAATCGTATCACCATGTACATTTCTTTTCGGAATGATTCGTCCATCACCTTCACGCCGGCTGACATGATCCAGTACAATACTCAGAAGCAGCAGCAGCAGCCAAAACAACCACTACTACTACATCAATCAACAATGACAACAACAAAAAATGCTTCCGTTTCCTCCCGTTATTTCCGACCACCTCACACGTTTCACGTCACACATTTTCCAAGCAATTGTTTCATGTCCTCCTCGAGGTTAAAATACGCCCTCTTGCTTACTTCAAACATTGTACAGTATTTACACGCGCATAGGCCTTGATCTGATTATGGGAAGTACAGACGCAAAAAAAATGCTTCACAGTAGAATCTCGTTACAACAAAGCATCCGGGAAATTAAGGAAGCTTCGTAATTACAGAAAATTCGTTAAAACGAAATTAAAATTACCCTGTTGGAACACTATTGGACAGGGACAACAAAAAAACAAATTCGTTGAAACCATTAATTTGTTACAACGATATTCGTCGTAATGAGATTCTACTGTACAATATACCGTATGATTTTCTGAAAATGCGGTCTATACACGGACAAAGTCTGCACTTCTTCAGGATTTTGCTGTTGCTCAGATTACTACTACACCATTTTTCAACTGTGTTTTCGTGACCTTCCTACGAGAGTTTCCGATTCATCGCTGAGGATTTTCCTTCTGAAAATGCCGTGCAAAGAATGTCTGGAATAAAGACTGCAGTTTCTTTTTTCCGGGGTCTGTGTGGCCTATTTGCGCGCAAATACGACTTTACCGGCAGGCACAATGCAAAAAAATCGAGGAAGAAAAAACAAACAAACGAAAACCCTCACAAATCATTCAGGTTTCATCACAGCTTCTTACCCGAGATGAACAATCGGGAAAGGGGGTTGGAAAAAAACAAACAAAAAAAACAAAAAACGAGGGAACAAAATAATTTCGCGAAATTATTCCGGCGACGGCAGCTTACAACGTGATCAACAACCCTTTTTTTTAGCCTCTCTCTGCTTCCCGGAAACTGGCCCTGGGGGTTTGGGATCGGATCGTATTTTCCCAGCTCCACCCCGGCGGGAGATGATATGAATATAAACACGCGGAAACACCAAAAAAAAACACAAACACACAGCACTACAAGGACTAACGGAAAGGGTTCGCTCTTCAGCTAGGAGACATGTCGCCTCTGCCGGGCTCTTCGTAACGTCGACACCGACATCGACACCAGTCCCGAACGCGGAGCCGGACTCGAAGCCAGTGCCACATGCGACCCACTGGCAGCGGCCAGTCGAAACCCTTGGGCAACGGGGATTCCACGTTTTTCTCCATGTAGCAGAAGAAGGGATGCCACCACGTCCTGCTCCACAGGTTTTTGTCAGAGCCCACCTTCTACAAACAACCAACAGCAAAAGACATCTTAAGAAAGAATCGCGTTCAAAAGAAGAGGAATACAGTGAAGTACAGTACTGTACATTGCAAAAGTTTTGGTTGTATCCTCTTGTGTTCATATAGAATACTTTTTCAACCCTTCAAGGTGGGGCGCGAGGTAAACTTACATTTTTAGCAGTTGTACTCATAGCGCATAAAACAAAAATAAAAAATTCGCATGCGAAAGAATGAAATTATAAAATGAAGGCATTCGAAAAAAAAAGTCCAGCAAAAAGAAAACGTTTGGAGACATAGCAATATAAAAGGGTTGCCCGACATGGGGGATGGCCTTTTTCAAATAGGTATGACTGTAAAAAAAAATATTACAATATAGCCCATGATGCTCTGAGGTTCTGGGATTTTTTCGGATTTTCAAAATAAATTTCAAATTTACAGCATGATAAGTGAAAACTGACCAGAGATCTCCACCCACGTCTCAGGCTGCTGAAAATTTGGCTGGCCAGCTGAAAATTGAAATTTCTTTGTTCTCTCAACCATTATCTTAAATGTAAACAAAATAATGGTTGGAACATATTTCAATTTTTTAGCTGGCCTGAAAAATATTCAACACCATGTGACATGAGTGGAGAACTCTATCCATAACTAGAAAGTTTTCACTCATCATCATACAGAAAATTGAAAAACTGTTTTCAAAATCTAAAAGAAATCCCAGAACCTTACAAGATCATGGGCTACATCATAATATTTTTTTACAGTCATACTCACTCGGGGAAATAACCAAGGTCACGCCCAAATAAGACAAACCTTGTATGCATGCATTCATATATTTTGAATCTTAGTTCCAAACAGAGTTAGCACATTGGTGTTTTGGTTCCCAGGCACTTGTGCAAGCAGTCAATAACACCAGTGCCAAAACACAACTTGCCTGATGCTGCACCAGAAAAACGGGCATAATTTTTCTTTACGTAAGGAAATGTGCATCTTTTTCCTAACACAAATAGAAACATAAATTTCAAAGTACCTAAGAATGTAACCCTAGAACTTGACAAGAATTATAATTCCACTACAAATGATCCAGACAATCCAACCCTTTAAAATAGTGTTGGTCAAACTGTTTGGGCCTAGCAAATTTTCATGGAATTTTTGCAGACTGGGGAATTTCCAAAAACATTTCTACAGACCAGCAAAGTTTATACAATTTTTGCAGACTCAACCACTTCTTCTTCAAGACAGTTTAAAAAATTCCTACTTTATTGCAATAATTAAGTTAAGAACCTATGAAGCAGCTATAGTGGGAATTCTAGAAAAATTGGTAACATGGGCTTGAAGAAAGGTTTCTCAGAATGAAATATTAAAATAAATATTTAAGCAGGTGAAAATTTGTCTCAAGTGTTATTAGGGGAAGAAAAAACTTATATTTTTCATCAGATACTTTCAACTGCCATTGTATTTCCAAAATTGAAGATAAATATTACAGACTGCATTGCTAGTTTTGATAAATTTATTATGCTCATGAAAATTTCATGCAGACCAGCAAAGAACTTAAGCAGACTGGTACTGGTCTGCAGACTACAGGTTGGCAAACACTGCTCTAAAACAATACATCTCATAATCCTTCGAAGATTGAATCACAGACAAGTTCAGGAAAATTTAATTTTTCCAGTGTCATCATTTAGTCCAGGGGTGCCCAAGGTATGCCCTGCAGGGTGGATCTGGCCCCAGGGAGCACTCCTGTCTGGCCCATGGCAGTCACCCCAAAAGCCACTTTATTGTTTTAAAACTTGCTGTTGATGACTTTTCAGACTGTTGAATCAATGTCTTCAGCAAAACAGAAAACACCATCGCGCATTTTTCAAAACTACAGTTTCTGAATTTGAACAATAAACCAGTCGCGCATTTTTCAATCAACTACAGTTTCTGAAGTTTGAACTATAAAATGTTTTTCAAAGATGTTTTACGAAGTTTGTTTTTCTATTATGGGTGTTTTTCCCTATGTCTATCAAATCAGTCTTGCCATAAGATAAAATGTGTTAGCAAAGGCAGGGAATCCAACCTCAATTCAACCATTTTCAGGGCATCGTTACCTGAATTAAAAAAATTTGCAGAATGTGTAAATTTTTCTGGACCCTTCACCCATGAAAATTTAAAATATTAAGCCATAATTTTTTCTTCACGCCCACAAAGACTCTCCTTGTTGCCATGTGACCCGCCACTGGTTCTGAGTTGGGTGCCTGCTGATTTAGTCTGTCATCGAAATTTGACCCCAACTCACCAGACTAGGATGCAACGCGTTCGCCAACGTGTGATACGTCCAAAACAGCCGAGTCGTGATGTAATAAGCCACAACCACGTCCACCGTGTAGTGGGCCCGGGACAGCAGGATCATGCAAATACCCGCGGCACTCCAGACATACGTGAGCCAGTGCAGGGCCCAGAGTCGCGGCAGGCCCGGGGCATCTCCGCTGCCGCCAGGCGTGTACTCCCGCACCACCAGGGCGCCAAGCACCAGCACCAAGCACACTGGGCTCATGTCCATCAGCGGCGTCATGGCTACTATGGGTAACTGTCTGTTGGGCTCCGGGTTGTTGTCGAGGGGCCACGCGACGTCCTGTTCGTTGCGGCAGCAAGCCAAGCGGACGCCGTTGCACACATACGTCGGCGACGCGACGGGCAACACTGTGACAAACATGGTCACGGATCGGTAGAGGTAGAGCAGGCCAAGTAGGAAGAGCCAGCGTCGGAACACGACCCAGCGATGCACGTGTAGGAGGCCAAGGAGGGCGCAAAAGTACACCAGGACCATGAGCAGGTACTCGGCCACGTACAGGGCCCAGTCGTTGGTGTACACGTGGTCCAGCACAACGTCGGGCAAGGCGCCTCGTTCCCGCGGCGGCACCTGGTCGTGGATCACGGCCAGGGCCATCATGTTGATGACGGCGCAGACGACCATGAACACGAGAGCTGCCGGCATATAAAATGCATTTTAATCAATTCAATCGTTTGGTCCAGCGTTCTCACCCTCGCGTCCGAACAAATTATAAAATTATGGATTTTCCAATAATAAAAAACCAGACGGTATTCGAGTATCACTGGCATCAAAAACCTCACCTCAGTGGCACAAACAGTCAAAAATATTTCTTCAACGCTTTTAAAAATAGGCCAATACAAACGAATTATTCGTGTGACCCGAGTACAGGTAGTCGCCGCAGTACCGATGATACCCATTGACAGACAACCCGAGGCCCAACAACAGCTCCCCGGTGCGCTGCAGGACAAGCAACGCCGTCGTTCGGTTCGCCTGCGGATTGCACACATACGTCGGCGACGCGACGGGCAACACCGTGACAAACATGGTCACGGATCTGTAGAGGTAGAGCAGGCCGAGTAGGAAGAGCCAGCGTCGGAACACGACCCAGCGATGCACGTGGAGGAGGCCAAGGAGGGCGCAAAAGTACACGAGGACCATGAGCAGGTACTCGGCCACGTACAGGGCCCAGTCGTTGGTGTACACGTGGTCCAGCACCACGTCGGGTAAGGCGCCTCGTTCCCGCGGCGGCACCTGGTCGTGGATCACGGCCAGGGCCATCATGTTGATGACGGCGCAGACGACCATGAACACGAGAGCTGCGGGCATATAAAATACATTTTAATCAATTCAATCGTTTGGTCCAGCGTTCTCACCCTCGCGTCCGAACAAATTATAAAATTATGAATTTTCCAATAATAAAAAACCAGACGGTATTCGAGTATCACTGGCATCAAAAACCTCACCTCAGTGGCACAAACAGTCAAAAATATTTCTTCAACGCTTTTAAAAATAGGCCAATACAAACGAATTAATGCGGTTGAACTTTTTCAAGCCAAACTTCAAGGAACCAGCAAAAATTCGGGATCGGAAAATTTTTGAGTTAGAGAAACAAGCGTTTCTTCTTTGTTGGAGGAAAGATAAAAGAATCGCAGTGAATGGTAATTGGTGACATCCTTAAATTGCATCTCATATGAGGTGACAGGATGCTGAACTTGAGGGCAATGCTTCATTTTCCCAATTAGTCTTTCTTCCTTCCAAAACACGTCAAGTTACCCTTTTATTGATTTTTCTCTTTCCTGTATCAATAAAATGATAGCCAAAAGACCCCCAGAAAATTCGACCAACGAAGGATTGAGAGGGAAAGCCTTCGAGTAAGGGAGATTTTTTATAAATTGATCGTCCCTTTTATTGATTTTTCTCTTTCCTGTATCAATAAAATGATAGCCAAAAGACCCCCAGAAAATTCGACCAACGAAGGATTGAGAGGGAAAGCCTTCGAGTAAGGGAGATTTTTTATAAATTGATCGTAAGAGAATTCCGACAGAAATTTGAAAAAATAAATTTCAACACAGGGAAATATTCGACCAAGAGAGGTTCGAGTTGTTAAGGTTCACCTGTAATCGTGTTGTCCTGAATTTTCATGCTCACTTCGGAAAAAAAAAGACAAAACTGGGGATTTCACGCTCGAAAAACATATTCAAGTATCGCTGGTATCAAAAATCTCACATCAGTTTCACAACCTGTCAGAAATTTGCCATCGGTTCTTTTTAAAAAACAATACTGGAGCACCATAAAACCACACACAAAAAAACTAATTAATTAATCAATTATTACCTAGCAGGGTCTTGAGTGGCTCCTTGGGGGTCTTGTTCATGCTCATAGAACTGCCGTACGGATCCATGGGTTGTGCCGAAGACAGGTCAGCCGCCGCCGCCGTCATCTCAGAAAGGCAACCCGCACGCGGGGTCTTGCCGAGGCGGTCTTCGTGGCCCAGCAAGTGGTCGTACCTTGGTCGCGGGGACCCCTTGACCATCACCAGACCAGTCGTCGTCGCCCTAGGTGGCCTGTCCTGGCCACCCGTGTCCTCGGCCCAGTCCACTCGACGTTGGCCCTTCGCACCACCTGCGTATCAATCGGGTTAGGTCAAGAGATGAGCAGGAAAAAACACACGCGAAGAAATCTGGAAAGTTGTGCGACTTTTTTTTCGTTCTGTTCGCGGATAGTTTTCTCATCAATAATATATATTAAATTTCCAGGAGTATTAAATTTTCCTTGCTCGGAAATGTTCTCCGAATGACCACAGCTTTGGTTCGGTGTTCAATCAAAATTGCATTTTGTTCGGATTCTTCGGAAGAACAAAAGTTGCATTTGGTTGATTTTAATAAATATATTTTTTTTAATGTTTGGCTTCTAAACAGATAGCTTTTTATAATTTTTCTCGCGTGAATCGATGGCTTCATTTCCTGGAATTTAGTATGTACAGTAATTTCAATTTTTGCAAGATTTTTAGAGAAGGATTGAATTCGCAACGAAATTTCCGTAGTACAGTACTAGATTTCCTGCGTTTTGGTGCTAAACATGTTCGAATGTTTTCAACTTAATTCGATAAATTTAAGAAGAAACGCTGATGAAGAAAATTTTATTAATGCTGTACTGTTTTCAGAGACAGATTTTTTCTTTTGCAGCAAATTTCATTCAAAAAAAATTACTTTGAAATACTGTACTAGGAATTGAGCCGTATTTTGTTCCTTGGGGGATTTAGGAAATGTTAATCGCTCTCTTACAGAACTGACCGGCTAAATCTCAGAAAATTGAAGCATTTAACAAAACCTTCTGGGAAAATTTCTCGCTTATAGAAATTGCTGCATTACATTGGATCAAACAGAACTTCAGGAGAGCTTATCTATCGCATCCGAAGAAAAATTATTCGTACACAGTATTTTCGCTCCCTCTCGACTGCCAAAAATAAAAATACAGGTAGACTCTTTACAACGATCTCGTCTATAATAATTTTTTTGTTGGTCTCATAGGGTTTTTTCCCGAGTTATTCGGGCTCTCCACAATAAAAATCTCTCTAGAATGAATTTCTTTCGGTCCCTCGAATTTCGTTGTAGAGAGAGTCTAACTTCAGTCCACTGCAGGGCATCTCGGAATGACAAGCGATCGAAATCCGAATTTTTACTGAAAAGTGCATTCAAACAAGAGTAAAAAAAAAAAACACGTTTTGTAAAAGCAAATCGAGAGAAGAAAAAAAATTACACAGAAAAAGTCGCAGGTGATTCGCAGCATTTCAACAAACAACTCACTCACCCGCAAAACCGAGACCGTTAGTAGCAGAACGCGATCTCGAATTTTCGACTGCCTCGTACAAAATCACCGGCGCTATGACGGGACACGACACACTCAGATCACCGCCACCACCGCCGCCGGCGCCTCTCCTATTATCACTCGCGTCGTCGTCGTCATCATCATCATCATCTCCTCCTTCTTCATCGTCGTCATCCTCCTCCTCAGCGTACGAAAAGCTGTCGCAATTACGGAACGGCGATCGCGGTTCATATCGTCGTTGCCGACGGTGTCCGCCCCCGGGCGCCGACGTCATTGGCTCGGATTCGACCGCCGCGTCTTGGAAGCTGCCATAGTTGATGGTTCCGTCCTTCATAATTCAGCGCAGCATGAACCGCGACTCGTACAAGTCAACACATGCACTCCCACACAAACAAAAAAACCGACCGAGACGGTACAAATAACCTGCAAAAACAAATGAGCACAAAAAAAATAATCTCGGATTCAAGTTCGAATCCGTCGACGAAGCGTCAATTGAGGCAGAAGAAAAAAAAAACAACGGGACAAAATCGTTGTCCTCTCACTGATTTCTCCTCGGTTCTGATTCTGGAAAAATAAATCAATACCATTTCCCGCGGGTAATGCAATACAGTCAATCAAGACTCACTATAGCTGCCCTTGAAAGAAAGAAAGCCCTGCCCGCGTCCCATCCAAAAAATAATAATATTTGGAAAAAAAAACCTGCATACCGTATTTACTCGAACATAAGACTTCCGTTTCCAGCAAAAACAACAAAAATTAGCTCAAATAACTCAAATGCGTTTTCTATTCAACGACATCTCGTAGATGAGCACGTGACATGAATTTCACACTGAAGCCTATTTTAAATTTAAATCAAGTCCACAAACCCTCCCCAAAATTTTAAATCGAAGGGATGCACGATTTTTAAAATTAAGAGTTCATCAAACTGGTAACCTAAACATGAGTCGAATCATCAGACTCTTCAGATTCCGAAGCTATTGAATGTAATTCCAGTGCAAATGAACACTCGCATGCAACATTAATTTCAATTTTCAGAATTCAAAATTAAAAACAGAGATGCGTCATAAATTCGAGTAAATGCAGTATTCTACAACTAAACTTCAGAACACCCTTCCTCGTTCCATTTTTTTTTTTTTTGCTCCAAGATCCCATTTCAATCATTTGTGCAAAACCCAGCTCCCCTTCAGAGCGGAATGTGGATACTTCTGTTCAGGCCAATACAGGCTACGAATAACAACAATAAAAATCAATCGATCGATCGATCAATCAATAAATAACTGGCTGTACCTTGTCCATCCACCCGGACAACACAAAAAAAAGCACCAACGAAGGACGACGAAAAACGAAAACAAAAAAATTACGAGCCGAAAACGTCGTCCTTTCTTGTTTCAACATAGCATGCAACAGGGCTTTCCAATCAGAAATACACGCACAGTACTGTTCAAAACTTAAAAACTGGGCTTTCAACAGAGTATGGAAGAATGCCACTTCGAAAACCGATTTTCAAGTGGTGCGGAATGAGAAGAAAACGCAACTGAAAGGCATCAGAACCTTAAATTTTAAATTCTAAAGTACAATGTCCACAATCCGAGTAAGTTGAACCTCAATAACTCGAACCTCCGCAAGTCAAATACCTCCCTGTGTCGAATTGTTTCAAGTTCCAGTCTGAATTCATTAAATATTTGCCTAAATCGAAACATTCTCCATCAAACTACTAAAATTCGAATTTTCTAAGGACTTTTGGCCATTATTTTCTGAACACAGGAAAGAGAAAAAGCAAAAAAAAATAACTTGATGTGTTAATTCTTGAGTCAGGAAAATGAAACCTCGCCTACATGTTCAGCATCTCGTAAGCTCATTTAAAAAGGAATTTCAGGCCCAGAATATCCTCAATTACAATTTCTTCGAATTTTCTTTTTTTTTTTCGTCCAAACCTTGTTTCCCTAACTCGAATGTCTTCGCTGGTCCCTTGAGGTTCAACTCTACTTCGCACTCTGCAACCAAGAGAGGACAAAAGCCGTTTGTTGATAGTGATACAACCTTAGTTAGAATTTGAACACCCCCGGACACACTTCATCAACCTATCCCAATAAATATTTCTCCCGCCATCCTTATTTAAGCCCTACCCAAAAAACAAATCACGGGGACGCGAAGTCACCGCAAAAAGTAAAAGCGAACAAATATCAGAACAGCCACTTGAAGCACCACGGGCCACATAAAAAGCGCTGCAAGCACTGGGCCCTTGCCAGCAACGAATCTCCGCAACACCAACACCAACGAATAAGACCATCCTCGTCCATTTCCTCCAATAGCTCCAGATTCGCTCTGTGGCAATGTCTGAGCTCTGTGAAGGGCGGCACCCGATTCCAACGACTTTCGCGACTTATTCTGTTCCAACTCCACATTCTGGACACGTTCACTCAGCACCGCCACGTCTCGTCGCATTCGCTCCAAAATATCCTTGCAGCTACAACAAGTCTTGCCTCGTCTCCTCGGAGACGCCTCTTTGACAGCCGAGGCCTTTGCCTTCGTTGCCACGGTTTCGCGATGCGGAAGCAAGAGTTTTTTCTTCAACCGGTCGCCTGATTCGTGTTCGTCTTCCAGAGGATCCGCGGCGGATGAAGAAGAACACGTGGAAGATACGGGTGTGGACCAATCGTCTTCCTCTCTTTCTTCCTCTTGTTGGCTGAAAAAGGCTTCCGACGAGGAGTGATGAGAAAGACTCGGGACTTGCGATGAAGCCGTTTCCCCCTTATGAGCGAAAAAAGAAATACGTCAGACCACTTCCTCGTCAAGAGAACAGAACACAACGCACCAGGATACGGAAACAGCTGTGACTCGCATAAAAGTATTTTCTCGGACTATTACAAATTTTTTCTTAATATATAAATTACGTGAAAAGCTATAACCCTCGAATAAGTCGAAGGTGCAGCTATAAATATGTTGCCCAGAATCATTTATCTTGTGGATGAAAGCTTTTTGATATTCTTCATCTCGCTCAGCAATGTTTTCCTAGTTTCCGCGCGTTTTTTTTTTTCGCTTGAATTTTCCGTAATATTCATCCCGTAATTTGCTTATAAATATGCCGCATGAGGGAAATGTTTCTCAAGCTAGAACCGATTATATTTTCTACGCACCTTATCACGAATTCATGCGCTCTTTTTCTGAAAATTTTCACGCAGAAATAAGCAGTTGAACCTGGATATCTAAAACCCCAATGCCTCCCTAGGTCAAATGATTCTCAAGTCCCTCTCTGAATCCCTTAAGAAACAATGCATTAAAACCCTTACTAACTCAAAGGAATCCCCCTTAAAACCTCCAAAACGACAATTGCCTGCGGGCATTTTATTGACAGAAAAGTCAAAAGCAATAAAAAATGTAACTTGATGTTTTCCTAAAGGACATGAAATATTATTTGGACAAATGAAGCTTTGCTTCCATGTTCAGTACCCTGTAAACTCATTCAAGAAACAAGTCAAGGCCTAGAATACCACCATTTACAATTTCTTTCAATGATACCTTATTTTCACCCAAGAAAATGCTCATGTCCTTAACTCAAAACCTCTCTGACTCAAAATTGTTTGCTGGTTCCTTGAATTTCGATTGAACAATCATTTGCTTTCACATGGCCACAGAATACTCGATTACAATATAATTAGAATCCAATATTCAACTTCCCATGGGAGTTGATAAATCTACGTTATTAACCGAGGCATCACTGTACAAAGTCGTTATTGACACGATATATACCTGCAAGGTCACTTCAGTCGCTTGTTCACCCAACACCTTGCTCAGGTCGACGTACTGGACGAGTGGCCCCATCGCGGCCAGGAAGTCGGCGACGTTATCCGTGAAGGACATAGTCTCCACGATCTCAAAAAAGATTCAAACACGAGCTCACACACATATAAATGCGAAGATTTTTCTTCGTAGACTAGAAAGATGCTCGTGAAAAGTAAGAAAGCCACACATGTCGTCAATATTTTCCAGTGGCCACAAGATTTATTTTGCTCCTTTTAATACAGTATATCCAATCGAAGTATGTTAATGTGGCATCTGTTGAAAAAGTATTTGGAAAAGACGCTTGAAACCCCCTGGATCAGTCGGGAGTTGAATTAAGAATGTCACTCAGATTCCGAGAATCCACGCCAAAAACGGGAAGCAGTTTGAAAATTTGTCAACTAACGGAAATTTGCGCATTTTCCTTTTTGAATCGGAGCAGAAAATACGTGCGTAAATAAAAAAGATTCACTCCAAGTTATTCAACAATGATTATCCATGCCTCTAATGATCGCTTCGTGAGTAAACAAAAATCGTCCGTCCGAAAATGGGAACAGAGCCCATTTCGGTGTGGCCCACTCACCGCGAGGAGATCCTTGACATACTCCCGCATGGCGTCGTCCTTGGACATGTGGCCCAGGCCGTTCCAAGCGTCCCACTTGGCCCGCTTGACGGGCTCCCACATCCTCGGGCGGGATCCGGGACAGGAACCCTCCGTCGCCTGCTTGAAATGCGCGTAGAACCGAAGCTGCAACTCATGGGACGGAACGTAGGGTCCTGGAATTAAATCAAACTCTATCGTTACTCTGTTCAATTGGATTAGGAATAATATTCGAGTGCCGTGAAACTATTCAAAATAACCAATTGCTTCTTGGATGAAAAAAGGGCCAAATTCGAAGAAATTAAGGCCCTTTTCTAGTGAAACCATTGGGTAATTACTGAGAATCACGCACGAACCCATGCTCAAGTAAAAACTCAGGATAATTTTGAACATTCTGTTTCTGACTTCACACAGTAGAACATATTTTAGGAGTCGCAAATGGCACATTCAGTTATAAAAAATTGTATGAATGAAGCAAGAGTTTTCCTAGAAACAACAGTCATCACCGCATGATGGCACCTAATATAAAACTCAAACAAAATTTTTAAAATATTGTATATATATTATTAACTCTTCCGAAGGAAATCGCTTAACAAATTCAACTCATCTCACCTTCCTTCGGGAGTCCACGAATAACACGCACCGCACACTCAAATTGCTCTTGGAGCCCAGGCTCCTCCTTTCCGCTCATCATCGCACACGCGACGGAACAACGACAAACAACAACAACAACTATCCCTGTACAATGACAACAACCACAACACCAATCCTCTCTCTGACTCCGTGGAACTTACGACTGATTCAAATCGCAATAGAAACGTGAATGCACATTCGGCACGGGTTTTTTATTCGGCGCGCAACGGGAAGGACAAATTTGGTAAGAAACGAAGCAAACATGCAAGCAATATTCGTAATCCGGAATGCAATATTGCATCTCGTCGCGAAAAACGACTGTTGACTGTGACGCGCAAAAAAAACCAAAATTGAAGAAAAAGCGCGCACTAAAAGTATCCACCTGGTCAATCACTCAAAACCAGGACTGCTGCAATGACAATCACGCAAATTTCAAACCGCCCAGCATGCAGGAGGCCGAGGCGCATAAAACGAACAAAATCGAACTAACACAAAAAGCCGATACGACTCCGAAACCCTCATCCATTTGTTCCGCTGCTTGCATCAGCAAAAGCGGGATTAGTATTCCGTGCAACGACGACGCATAGAAGATAGTTGAATAGACAGTCAATCACCCCATTTCACTGCATTTTCTTGTCATTTACGGTCGGTGTGTATGCCGGAGGTGCGTCCTGTAGACAAGCAACGGAGAAAAGAATGAATCAGACATCGCAAAAGAATACTGCGGAGATGGTACCTCGATTAATGGCCTTACTCCGTTTCATTGGGATCTGAAATATTGTTTGAGTTATGCGAAACTACGCAAAATTATTAATTGCATCCAGACCACCAACTGAGTACTGTGGAGATATTTTTTTCATAGAATCGCCGATTTGTGCGGGATCCGTCAGAAATTTTCTGAGTCAATTCTTCAATAAATTGGTCAATAACTAGTCAACCCGCAATCAAGTGCCACAAATTACCCTGGAACAAATCTCCCTCCATTGTGTTCCAAAGGGAACCCCAATTTAGTGCCGCCTCACTTTGTGACATATAAAAATCTTTGTCCTGGATGAAAAACGGACCAAAATTAAAGAAATTAAAATCTTTTTCGATGGCTACCATTGGATTATTACTGAGAATCACGTGCCCATGCTCGAATAAAAACTATCCATTTGTGAATTCGATCAGTTGAAAATATTTTTGTAGTTCTAGCGAATGGGACATTCCTGAATAGAAAATTCAGGATTGAATGCAATGAGGGTTTTCCTGAAAGCATGATGGCACCTGAAATAAAATATAAATAAAACTTCAAGAAATAAACCTCATTTTTTACGAGACAGAATAAGCCAAAAATCGAATACATTCTGTCTTATTAAAAATATTGTACTGTAATTCAATAAAAATAAATAAAACCAATTCATTTGAGCTTCAAATTATTTCTTGTAGCTTTTCTCTTACAAAACGGACTGAGTGGCACAGGAATTTCGCAAACAAGCTTACTTCACCTACAGTAGATACTCTCTCCAGAACATTCCTCTCATACAAACCGCCAAATTCAGAGATACCCTTGCTTAGTGCCACAAAATGTGCCAGGACAAATGATGTCACTACATCAAGGTTCGACTCTGAAGAACTCTGTGGAGTCTCAGCCTAAGGCACAAAAAATCCACTGCGCGAGGCGTCCGGTAACCGATATAGCACTTGATTGAAGAGATAAAAACCACGGGACTCACATAGGGACGAGCCGAGGCATACACCATGTTCGTCGAGGGGTCCACAAAGCCGATTTCGGTCGGCGGTGGCGGCTGACTCGCGTAGCCGCCAATGCCCGGATACGGCGGCGGGGCTTGCATCATGTACACGGAGCTGGGCTCGGGCCGTTCCGGAAAGGCGCCGTACGGCGGCATCCAACCGTACATTCCATTCGGATTCGGTACTTCGTAGTAAGCCGGGGGCGCAGTGGCCAACCCCGGACCGCCACCAGGGCCCACGGACCAGTCGTACGACGGCGGCGGATCATCTTTCTTCTCTGCAGCGTATCGGGAACCTAGGACAGACGTAACGAGTGACAAACAATCAAACAAACAACTCCAGCTTCGCCAACATTAACAGTATTGCACTTTTCCGCTACAGATTCGCAGGAGATCGTTTAAAACATTCCCTCTTCTCACGCATTTTGAAACGCATTCTCATACGAAGATTGGGATGAAGAATTGGAAGAAATCCGAAAACCAACAGACACGATACAATCATGTCTTTTAAATATCGTGTCTACTTGACCCCCAACATAGAATGTTCAGAACTTCAAAAACTAAGAAGCACGATTCAGTGAACACCGCTAACCTAAATTCACTAACGCCATGGGATGTAACTCGATTAACCCGAATCCCATCTTTAAAAACCTTTAAAATACTCAGAAAAGCTTCTTATCTTTCCTTCCTTCGGCTTCAAGTTTGTTCGCATTCACGATTCTTGCGAGGAATCACAAGAATCAATCTTTGAAACGCTCGCGAAATTTTCTGCGCAGACTCCTGGTCAAGGGACGACTTTTAACGGATGCACTGTATAACAATCAGTTTCTGCATATTTCACGCGTTCGAAACTCACTCATCTTGGCAGCCTCGAGCATAGCCTTGCCAAAATCTATGGCTCCGCCATGTTTGAAGGCCAGCTTCAAGCGGGCCTCGCCGGTCCAGCCGCCATTTGGCTCGGACTTCACGGACCCTTTGATGTGGTTCGCACCAAACACCGGCTGTTCCAGCTCCACCTGAAAAACGAGTCACACATTTTTTTTTTCTTACTTGGGTTCAAATATTTACAGTTTTTCATCAAATAAGCTCAACTCACATTTCGCAGAGTTGAGAACGGACAGGAGAAAGATCGCAGCCCGTCCGTCTTTTTGTCAGTGAGGAATATGAGCCGATGAGTCGTCAAGTACAGCTTCCCTGTCTTTGATCCCCGCATAACTGGGTTGTCTCCACCCTCTGCCGAAAAGTTCACTCCGGAGCAGTACAAAATAATGCTGTTGAATGGGAAAAAACAGCAACAATGAAATTCACTTTTATAAATGACACTGGAAAAAGAGAATAGAATATAAGTGAACAGAAAACTCACTATTCCCCGGCGAAAACGACAACTCCGGCTCCACTTGGGTGATGCGCAACGTTCAACGACATCGCGTCACTCTACCGTTATCGCAATTTACCTGAAGCAACGAATGGACAACGTTATCCTAAGTTAAAATGAGAAATACTGTATTTACGATGGGTAGAACTAAGGTTCCGTCATTTTCGTCCATAACCGAGGAATACAATTTAATAGAAAATGCATTCCACAGAATAGAAATTCCCACCTTTCAAGGTCATTTTCAAAGACATATCCAAGTGGACTGTCTCTCCAACAAAATTCAAGGAACCAGATAAAATCCGTTACAGAGAGAAAATCGTTCTAGACAAGTTCTTCATAGAAAGCTCACCAATGTAACCATTTTGTAATGCATCTCCATTTCTATTGTACAATCTTCAGATCACAAGCCTTGACTTGAAGAACTTGTCTTTTAGGAATTTTCATTAGAGTAGTGTATTTTAATGGATGAAATGAGTTATTTTTGGAAATGCAGATGCATTTGATACTAATTCTTCAAATTACCTTCTTGAAGTTACGGACGAAAACAAAGGTATTACAGTGCCACCTCAGATAATGGATGCTTCGAAAAATATGTTATTGCACAATGGATTCCGACTACAGTTGAAACTCGGTAACTCGAACCTTCCCAAGTCAAATGCCTCCCCTACGCAGTTTGTCCTGAGTCTCTCTCTCTCTGAATTCCTTCAGAAAAAATGCTATTAAAACCTCTGTAACTCACAGGCTTTCCCTCTCAAACCTCCACAACTCAAATTTTATGGGGCCTCTATGCTTTATTTGACTGGCACAGGAAAGAGAAACACAAAAAAATAACTTGATGCGTTGAAACGAAGTAAAAGACTTATTGGGCAAATGAACTCTTGCTTCCAAGTTCAGCATCCTGTCCACTCATCTAGGAAACCACTCAAGGACCAGAATATCATCAATTACTACAGTACAGTATTGTATTTCCTGTAATGCTTATTTCTTTCCCCACAACAAAATTGCTTGTTTCCAAAACTTTAAACCTTCCCAACTCGATTTTTTGCATGAAATTCGACCTAAGGAGGTTCGAGTGTATCACTAATTTCTTGCTCGATCAACAGACCTCGCCTATGAACTTCCCACTCGATGAACGAATCACATCCATGAACCGAGGCTTCACTGCACTACCCCTCGAATCTTGAATTTCGAAAATAAAGCACAACAGATCCACAGAGGGCAAACACGAGACACACACGCTCTCTCCTTCACTTTCATAATCATTAAAGCAATAACGGTCGTGGTGTCATGAACTCCTTCACAACTTCGTCGGTCACTTCCGCGCGCTTCGCTCGGTGCTCGCCCACAATCTTCTGCAGCAATTCAATCAGTATTTTCTTCAGCTCTCCCGTCATCATTTTTCCAGAAGAATATTCCTACGTAAGGACCGGAGAAACGCTTTTTCCTACTCACCAAGGGCAAACAAGAAAATTTGGAAAACGAACCTGTTTGATGCGATCTAATTCGTCATCACTCTCCAGGAAGAAGCGGAGATACTGGTAGGATATGTCTACATCGCAATCTCCTCCGAGGAGCCGATGTTCCTCAACCGTGGCTTTGCCTCCCGAGAAGGCATGTTTGTTAATCTACAAATTCAAAACATGTTATCAACACATATTTTCCGGGGTCGAAGGAAAAATAAAAGCCCTCCAAATCCTTGAACTTTACCTTCGTCTTGATCACTTTATCAGAGTCCGTCAAGAATATTGATGAATTGGGATCTGAAGACGACATCTTCGTCTGAGCACCTTGAAGCGCCGGGAAAAACGTCGAAAACACGAGGGACGGCTTTGGATAATTTAGTCTTGGAGCGACGTCACGTGTCATCCGAAAATACGGATCCTGCAAGATTTTTTCACAATTTCAATGAGTTTCTCTAGAATATCCAACTACGTCACAACACACGATCCACCTGATCAATTCCACAGGGAATGAGACATGGAACATCCTTCATTGCACCAAATATAAAGGGGAAAGATGAAGGAAAGCATGGAGCCGCTTGGACGGCCGGAAACGCAATTTTTCCGATGCTATCGCTATCGCCGAACCCGAAAATTCCTCGTACTTGATTCATCGTCACGCATTTCTGAATCTTCACTATGTTTTGATAGAACTCTGGGCATTGTCTAAGTGGATAATATCGTAAATGTCTTCGTTTCACGCTGAGAATGTTTGTCAGTTCTCACCCCATAAATCGAAAATTGGAGAATATAAATGTCTTCTTTGGATCAAATCCAAGCGCAATGATATCCCGAGCATTTTCAAATGCTAAATGGAACGCCTCCTCGTAAGTCATGTCTTTCCACAAGAATTTTTCGTCGTCGGTAAGCTGAATGACGAGCGGGACATTTAGAACGTCTTGGAACCACCTGCGATTCAACATTGGTGAGTGAGCCAGAGATAACCGTGTCCCAAACAATACTAGGCACTAACTTGGTGATGATAAAAGGCAGGAGATGTCCCACATGCATGGCTGTGGAAGATGGGCCTCTTCCAGTGTAGAGGAAGAAGGGCTGCTTGTTTTCAATTCTAGTTAAAATCGGCGCGATATCTCGATGGGCGAAAAATATTTCTCTCCGGATAAGGTGATGCAATGGAGTATCGCCGATAGCCGATTGCAATCGCTGACGAATACCATCGTCCAAAGCAGTACATCCAAAACGCTCTATAATGCACATCAGAGATCATAAAGTCAATTAGAACAATTAAATAGTATTCAGCATTTCGTACACACCAATCAATTTGTTGTAATCCACGCCCTTCCCTGAGGAACTGCTGACCGACCACGGATTCACCACATCCTCGGATTCCGCTTCATCCGGAACTCGCGGTGCCGTTTCACTCATATCCACTTACTCTCTAAAACACGTCAAAATGATATTCTCCGAAACCCGAGAAACTGCCGCGTCCGGGAACAAGTGATCAAAAAATCGAGATGAATATACAAACTCATCGATCGTCAGGGAACAGCGGAGACACCTTCTTCCCCAAAAATGCCAAGTTCACCACACGCCGATTGTTGTTCACCAATGATCACGCTTTTCGATTTCGTCCTCTCCCTTCCTAATCTGGTTCACATACTGCCCTGGTTCGAAAAAGTAGAAACGTCCTCACGTGGTGATGACTCATGGATTCCACGCGGATTGCGTGACTCGTGATTATTTTCATCTAACATTTGGGCAGATCTATTCTTCCCAGGGTATAAAAAGTAGCCGTGCAAGGATTTCCGTACTAATCAAGTGTACGGTATCGGACTAAAATATTATTCTTGAGCACTCCGGGGATTTCAACTCACTTCCCACTCCGTGTGGACGTACTTCAACACTGTCGCCAAAAGAAAAGCTTATCAATTATGCGATAAAATTCCTTCTGTAGTATGCCATACGCCACCGCAAAATCCCTGAGCGGTTCCTGTTTTCCACGGATAATCCTCGCAATGCGTCTCATGCACCTGAGCATTGATATTTCACCTTGTTCAACGGAGTCCAACCACCCGCAGCACGTTGTTGCATACGCTGTGTGATCTAGAACAAAACCTTTGATAATGGCTTTTCGAAGATGGCGCATTCCATTTGGTTGTATAGTAAGGGCCAGCGACCTCTAGACGCCGCCCCCTCTACTATTTCTCAGTTTGGCGCGCACAGCGTCCTCGACTCCCGAAGCGCCCGCCGGCCATGTTACCGGCGAGGCTAGCCAGGGAGCTCAGTCTCGTCTTAAGGTGGCCTGTATGTACAAATTTACAGATATGTCAGCTCTTTATTTTGGAAATAATTCCATCAATCAAACATGACCGGCCGATTGTATAGGAAAAGACGTGCATGATTGTCGTTACGTACTGTATAGTAAGGGCCAGCGACCTCTAGACGCCGCCCCCTCTACTATTTCTCAGTTTGGCGCGCACAGCGTCCTCGACTCCCGAAGCGCCCGCCGGCCATGTTACCGGCGAGGCTAGCCAGGGAGCTCAGTCTCGTCTGAACCGCGAACAGAGCAACACCTCAATTGAAAACCCCGAATCTCCCCATTCGAACCTACGCGCACAGAGTGTTGAACACCGACCTTCTGATTTGTCTAGAGCACCTTTGTTGAACTCAGTTAATAAAAAACCCCTTGTGTATTTCTCCCGAATTCCCTGGTGTTTATTATTACTGCCTACGGCGTACGCGCACAGAGTGTTGAACACCGACCTTCTGATTTGTCTAGAGCACCTTTGTTGAACTCAGTTAATAAAAAAACCCTTGTGTATTTCTCCCGAATTCCCTGGTGTTTATTATTACTGCCTACGGCGCTCTTACTGGGGGCTCGTCCTAAGTGCCAATTTTACCCTCGACAGCGCGAGTGTCCCTCCCGTGCTTCTCAAAGTTGAATTATGGCTAGCCCAAAGCCTTCCCCTCCCGTCGAAGATATCGCCGACACCCCCGATGATTCCCTCTCACCCGATTCCCCGTGGTCTCGCCTCACAAAGGCTACTTTCATCCAATATTTTCTCACCCAACAACTCCCCCGCCCAGTCACGGGCAACACGCGCCAGGACTACATCAACGTCCTCACGGCCCGCGGCATCTCGCCGAACACGGTGTTTCTCAACGCACCGCCGTCCTCGTTGCCGGCTCCTCTCAACCCGGCTCCCTTACCTAATCTCTATAATGCTCTCAATCCGTCCCCTACCGTCGATCTTCCTCGCCAGCACGAAGGCGAAGACATTGACGCCTATCTCAGGCGCTCATTGAACGTATTCAACCAAGAAGGGACTTCGGAACGCTCGCGAGTCTCCTGCCTCCTCAGCATGACCCAACCGCGGGTCTCAACCGCCGCAAATCTCTTATATGAACGCGGTGCTCTCACCTTCGACGCAATCGCCACAGGCCTCCGCGCCCAGTTCGGCAAGTCTCGTTTCGAGCACTTCCTCGAATTCCAAACCCTCACCCCAATGCAAAACGAGACGTACATCAACTTCGGATACCGTCTCAAGGAGGCTTATCTCAAATACCTCCCAGCAAACGACGCTAACCAAGCTCATAACGACGCGCTCGTCACCCACGCCCTAATTGGGCAATTCCTTACAACTATCCAAGGAGGAATCACGTCGCACCTCCAAGGCAAGGCCCTCTCCGATCCCCATATCTCATGGGAAGAGTTCCTTCGACAAGCGGACGAATTCCGTTTGACACACCCGAATGCTCGGACCTCGTTTGCTCGGGGGGCTACCGCCGCCCAACCTAGTCGGCAGAGACCGGCATCACGGGCTTCTACGGCCTCCTCATCCGCTTCTTCTTCCTCGGACCGTCGCATGTCCTTCTGTACGTACCACGATCGTATGGCAGCCCACACGTCGGAAGAGTGTTCACTCAAAACCGGGCAGCCGCCGCCGACGCATTACTGTCAACACCACAAAAAGTACGTATCACATACGACCGAACAATGTCGCCTCCAACGGCCGGATCCCTCGGCAAGTACTAGCACAAGTACTAACGCGAAACCTCAATCATGTGTTATTTGCTCTAAAACAGGCCATGTCGCGGCGAATTGTACCGAGTCGGGAAACGGGAAGAAGGTGTAGTGACGGCGGTCCTCTGCACCATCCCCAGCCCTCAGGCCGCCCAGGATCGCATCACTATTCTGATTTCCATCAAAGATCAGAAATGCACGGCGCTCATCGACACGGGGGCGTCCAAGTCCTTCATCGCGACCGATACAGCCCGTACCCTGCGCCTCCCCACTTCTCCGGCATCAGCGTCGATCGCGGTAGCGGTAACGGACATCTCACTGCCCATCACCGAAGAGGTAAGAACTACATTTATCTTCCGCAATCACCCCTACCCAGCTACCTTTTTTGTTCTTCCGAACGCGTTTTACCCCATAATCATCGGGTGCGACATACTAAACACACTCCCCCTCGCCATCACGCTCGATGGGTCACTCATCTTTTCCGGCTTTCGCGCTACACAACCCTGCACAGAAAAACCTACTTGCGCTATCGGCGAGCAAATCTCATACATCGACGGGTCCGCACCCGAACGCGCCATTCTCACCGCCCTTCTCGCGCAGTTTCACGACAATATTTTTCAATGGAGCGGCCGTCACGGCCTCTTCCCCCAATACGTAGCTCACCTCCCCACGCATGAGGATAACCCACCTATGGCTAAACACTTCCGCCAATGTTATGATAAGCAAAACCCGCTCCACGCCATTCTCGAAAACTACAAAACCACCGGCATTCTCGAACCGGCCCACTCGCCCTACAGCTCCCCTGCTTTTTTAACACCTAAAAACTGCCCTGACCCAGATGCGCCCCCTATGAAAAAGTGGCGTCTCGTTGAAGACTATCGCGAAGTCAACAAGCTGCTCAAACCCGATAATTATCCCATGCCCGTAATTCACGACCTCCTTGACGCTCTCGGCCGCCAAAACGCCTTCTTCTGCACACTTGACCTCCACTCAGGTTTCCATCACATCCCTCTCGCACAGGCAGATCGTCAAAAGACTGCATTCACAACCCCCTTTGGACAACTCCAATATACCGTCCTCCCATACGGACTCAAAACAGGCCCCGCTATTTTCCAGCGCACAATGGAAACTATCT